AAATTAGGGTACAGTACATTCAACATTAACCCGAAGTTAATGCTCACTTAATACGATTTCGAAATGGCAATTGGTTAGGCTGATATTATCGATAATGTAAAAACGCAAAATTGCGCGTAGATGACGTCACGCACTGTCTCTTATACACATCTAGATGTGTATAAGAGACAGTACACGTACGTCTTGACGCCCGTGAGCACGGTAATAGCGTAACTCGTGGCAGTTTTTGAGATATCGTGCGAACAAAAAAGGGGAGAAAGAAAGAATAAAAAAAAGATGATGATGATGATCCTGACAATAACAAGAGGTGATCCGCTAGTGTTAGCGGATCACCAATAAAAGAAATAAAACCCATTAAACCTTAAAAGTATGTAAAAGTGAATGTGAAAAAACAGGTAAAAAATATACATTAAAATTTATTTAAAAAACCTTTAAAACTCCTTATCATAAAGTAAATCTAATAAAAACAATAAAAACTCTCGTTAAACCTTAAAAGATGTAAAAGTGTAAGTAAAAAAGCAGGTAAAAAGCGGTATGTATAAGATTTCACAAAAAAATTATGTTTATGTTTAAAGCATATTTATATGTTAAAACTGTTTACTGATTGTTTGTCCAAAGGGCCCAAGTTTATCATTCAGTGATTGACAGATAGATATATAAAAGTCTTTCTTTATTCTGGATATTCAGTGAGTATTGTTACACTTTTCTTCCCTGAGGTCCAGGGTATGATCTTAAATTACATTAAATTACAAAACAAATCACAATTTTGCGCTACTTTGTGTTCAAAGACGTTTTAGCATGTCTTATGGCCATAACATTTTAAAGAAAAAACACTTTGTCTTTGTTGATCCAACTAGCAGTGTCTGACAGAGTTGGAAAGGGGCTTGGCCTGTCTGAGAGGAAGTCCAAAGAAACCCTTCTGCCACTGTCACTGGTCTTGGGTTCAAATCATGTGACAGCACAGGAATATTTCCCCTTTACTAAAAAACATCTCCACTTACTAGAGCCTTGTGGTGGTAATGAGTTTATAAAGCATAACATTATTTATATATGAGGGCCCCTAATTATATCAGCTTACCCTCTAGTATAAGCAGGAAGGGTCAACTTCTATATATGAGTCAGCTTGTTTAACCATAATAAATATGTTTAAAAAAATCAATTAATAGAAACATTGGCTCTAAAGCCTGATTCCTTATGCTGTAACAATGACCTATATTAATATATACAGGCCTGAAAAAAATATTTTTGTGCCTCTGACCATGAAAATTATCTAGATCAAATGCCTCCAGCAACAAATGCTATCTTTACACTATTATAGCGAAACAGTAGTACATTTAGTACTTTGGAGCAAGCATAATTTAATTACTGGTATGCATAAAATTGAGATATGTAACAAAAAAAAGAAATGTTTTTTTTTCTCTAAAATGCCTCCGACCGTCGGTTGCGCGGTCATGCACTCTTTCCATCCCTGTTAATACAGTATAGCTCATTGGTGCAGCATAAGGAACCTGAGGTGTAAAATTTCTTTAGTATTTATATTTAACTGACCCAGAACACTAGTACTTACTGTAGTATCAGTGAGTACTATAGTATCTTTTATATTGGCATGAAAATCACAATCAACGATGAATGGAAGAATAACTGTCACCTCTGAAAGAAAGGTCAAAAACACAAAAGATTCCACAAGGTCAAATCCAGTACTTTGTAAACTTTTCAAGACCCACAATGCTTGTTATAGAAATGTTAAAAACCCCACTGATTTCAGCTGAGTGTTCAGGATTAGTGTGTAGTCTGACAAAGAATTTAAGACACAGTCTTACGAAGACACATTGATTGATTTAATTACGAAAGATAATAGGTCATTTAACATTTTTACTGTATTTTAACCAGAGTTAGGTGGAGTAGATGGTATCTTTGAAATTCAAAATAGTTACATATCTCATCTTTTATCTTGCACAAGTTAGAATTTTCACCACGAACAGTGCCAAACATAATGTATATTTGCTGAAGCGTTTCTTAATGAATGTCTCCTAAAGACATGTTACATTCTTCCATAAAATATCCTTAAGGGGTTTGGGGGAGTGGGATAAGGTGTGAGAAATATTAGGTGCACATATTTTTTGTTTGTGTAACATTTATTGCTCATCTCATACACAATAAGTTTTTATTCCTTGATGTCAAATCCCAACTGAGTGATCCTTCGAGTATCCAATGTAAACAGCGACTGAAATAAATTCACAGGTCAAATTTTTGAGCACCCTCAAATGTATATTATTTAACATCGATGACTGTACTACAAACGTTCAACTTATTCAAGTATGACATCCTGAAATGCCTTGGTTACTAGATTGTACAGTGATGACTGGACAGTCCAACCATGGAGGTATAAACCTCCATGGTCCAACATTATATTTCTGCCCATCCATGTAAATTTATCTACTTTAGTTAATCCATTAAATAAATGCTACCACAGGCAGCAGAAGGCTTGTACTTATTATAAAATAGGAAGTTATAAAATAATGCTATTCCACAATATGTAAACGAAACATAGGTTAGATACAATACTAGGCCTAGGCTTATATTCTTTGTAATGTAGAAACAAGACCTACTGGTGAAGGTAATTAGCTAATCTAGTCTAGCCGTCCGGTCCATCTCACTCGGTCTTACTCTTCTTACTTAGCTCCTCATTCCTACCTAGCCTATCATACCTAGCCTCCTGGCGAAACTCAGGCCTAGCCTAGAGGCTTAGCTAGCTAGAGATTTTCTCCTACACTACACTAGTATTTTTGTCTTAACAATAGAACACATGAATTTCTATATTAATAAAGGATATACAAAATATATACCTACTGCTTTTAAAATCTCTACTTCAACGGACAAGAGCTTACCGTGCCATCATCTTCTTGCGATCATAAAAAACAAGTGTATCGTCGGCGATGAATAACATAAAGGTCAATCTCGATTGCGTCATGCAAAAAATAGATTCTGATAAAGGATTCTGATTGGTCAAGCATGACACACCTTATGCACGCCCACATGAAAACCTTCGTCAACAAACTGACAGTGATGTACTGTACACAAAATAGACAACATTGTTGTTTATGCAGACGTGACATTGAAACGGTGCACGTTTTTAAATTTGTTGTTGGATGGATCATCTGTTTCTTTGCTCTATGGAAGGATTAATTAATTATTTGTATAATACAGTAGTGGAGTTTATGGTTTTGACTTTGGTGGGTGACGTCACGGTGCACCATGTGAACTACATGCATACACTTGATTTCATTCCATTCCATCACGTCAGAATTTTTAAGCACATGTACCTTCCTTAACTTTATTGTTATTCACCTTGTTTTGAAATGTTTCGATGAATTGAACTGAATTGAAAAGTATGCCACAGGCAAAAAAGTGTAGGCCTAGGGCTAGTTTTAAAATAAGTAAATACATAGGCCTAGTAGTAATCATGTGGTTCCGTCATTCTCTCTAAGACTAACTGGCATTTTGTGTTTCAATATGCTTACTGTAGTCCACGTGCCATCTTTATGATAACTTGACGTCATGAAAACATTTTCAAGATTAATTTAGTCATCGTCATATATAATACATACGATTTGTTCTTTGAGTTATACACAAAAAAAAAAACTTATACAAAAACTCTGAAAACTCTGAAAGACGCCATTATATTACAACATACAAATACATTGACAGGGAGAGAGTTAGAGAATGAATGAAAGTTTGGACAGTGACATGAAGAATTTTTAGCTTTACAGTAGGCAATATTCAAAGACACGTTGGCGAATCCATATCATGCTCTAATAAAAGTCAGCATTAAAAAACACGGACGTGAGGAATATATGTCGGTTTTACAAGGCCAATTTCAATCCCATGAATACCAAAATTACAGGCCTGATCTTTGTGAAATTCAATAAAAACAAAACAAAAACAAAAATTTAAAAAAACCGATACAAATATGTATAATGCATTTGCCAATTTAGTAAGTTTGGTAAAGCATGATATTCTTTTCTATTATAATAATCCTTACCAAAGAAATAAAAATGCCCTTTAGTAGAACTGTGTTTGATAGACCGTGGCTCAGCCACAGGTGTCAGTAAGACTAAGGCCTATCGTTAGATTTTTATTCTGTCCAGTTATATATTTTTCACATTTACTTATGAATAGAGTAGAAGGTAATACAAATACCTTAATTTATCTGTTATTTAATAACTAGCTCGAATGTGGTTTATCGTCAGCATAAATCAGTATAAAAAATGGATTACGGGCAATTATTGAGGAAATCGATATAAATACCGGTACCATGAAAAAAAGGATATGCCTCCTACATGACATAAATGATTGTGCAGATCTTTCAAGCCCACGCATTTCGAGGACTGTAGTGGAAAATTTGCTATAGTCTTTTAAACTTGTGTAGTCTATCTGAAACAATGATAAAATTGATTATCATGACGTATTGTAATTTTGAGAAAATAATTGTCATCATCGTCGGCATCTCATGATAACGAAATTTCAAACTGGTATTTTATATTTCTTGTATAATTATTAGTTTCTTTTTGGGTATATAATAATCGACGAACATTTTAGTTTTGCTATACAGTAAATATCACTTTCATGTTATTTAATGTTCTTCGCTGTCTATGTTGTGCTTATAAACTTTAAACATACTGTATTTGAATTGTTTGTACTTTTTTTCAGTTAAAAAATAGGACGATATTTTCGTCGTTATCAACAGACGCATATTTTCTAATTCTTTGTCTGGCTTTAAATTGAATGACATTACTGTATTATAATTATTATTCAATTTAAGATTTTGTTTTATAGCCTGTAAATCAATAAACACTAAATGTAAGCAAATTCGTAGTTTGAACTGCGCATGACCGTATCCAATGTCAATCGGGAACAATGTAATGAAGTAAAGAGAAAAGTAAAAGAGCTTATGGTAAAAATAATTAAATATGGTAAAAATTAAATTTCTCAAAAAGGACCCTAGATCTACCTGGTTAGGATTGAAAACTATTACTTGTATGGGAAAAAAACTAGTAAGGGTAGCACCCAAAAGTATGGGTTTATAAATGATATTGTAATTACAAATGAGTTAAATACATTCTTTTTAAGATTTGATGCTAAGGGTAAATGACAAGAATGTGTTAAGGAGAACATAGGCAAACTAGATGCTCATGATAGTCCTGTCAGTCAGTGAACATGATGTTAGAAAACGTTTAAAAGCCCTTAAAACAGGCACAGCTGCTGCACCTGATGGCCTCAGCACTAGCTTTCTGAAACTGTGTGGCAAGTAGCTTACATATGTGTTCTGTTGACTCTTCCACTGGTCTCTTAAAACACACACGGCAGAAACTACGAATTAGTTTATTAATTTGTGTCTGCTTGGAATTAAAATTTAAGGGATTTTCATAGAGTGAGGTCCACATCTGATGTCAGCCTGCACATGAATACAGATAGTACCAAACACAGGGTATATTAAAAACTAAGCAGAAAATGTATACAATGTGTCCTTTGATATTTATTTCACATTAATACACACCATATGCTAATGTCTATTGTAAAATCAATTACAAATAAAATTGAACTAAGCTCATGCAATGATATTTTGAAGGCAATGAGTCCAATACAATGTCTGCTCAGCCACAGAATCATTAGTAACAGCCAAACCAAGGATCTTTCATCCAATAATAATTCTGAAGTACACAGAAAACCTCTGAATTTTTAGGGTGATGATGTCAATAATTCTTGTTCGTTTATCTCCATCTACATTAGTCTTCTATTTCTATACAGTTTTGGCTCCTTCCAACAACCTATTTAATATTTGACTATTAAAATTATCCCTTAAACTTGCTGGAATAAATGTTTTTTAGATCTTTCAATTTAGTCAATGGGAATCTTGATTGTTAACTTGATTCGGATTTGTCTTCTATTTTGTCCTGTTTTTCTTTTGGCTTAATCTCAATTCCCCTATTCAATTGTGCTATTACATCCATATGTTTAAAATGCTGTGGTTGTTGGTTGAAAATCTTCAGCAAATCAAATCGCTCCTTATCATGATGGGCATAGTAAAGCTGCATCTGATTGGCTAAGAACTGTGCATCGGTGACACTCTGTCAAGATTTAGTAAGTTTGGTAAAGCATGATATTCTTTTCTATTATAATAATCCTTACCAAAGAAATAAAAATGCCCTTTAGTAGAACTGTGTTTGATAGACCGTGGCTCAGCCACAGGTGTCAGTAAGACTAAGGCCTATCGTTAGATTTTTATTCTGTCCAGTTATATATTTTTCACATTTACTTATGAATAGAGTAGAAGGTAATACAAATACCTTAATTTATCTGTTATTTAATAACTAGCTCGAAGGTGGTTTATCGTCAGCATAAATCAGTATAAAAAATGGATTACGGGCATTTATTGAGGAAATCGATAGAACTACCGGTACCATGAAAAAAGGATATGCCTCCTTCATGACAGAAATGATTGTGCAGATCTTTTTTAGCCCACGCATTTCGAGGACTGTAGTGGAAAATTTGCTTTGTCTTTTAAACTTGTGTAGTCTATCTGAAACAGTGATAAAATTGATTATCATGACGTATTGTAATTTTGAGAAAATAATTGTCATCATCGTCGGCATCTCATGATAACGAAATTTCAAACTGGCATTTTATATTTCTTGAATAATTATTAGTTTCTTTTAGGGTAGGGCCTATACAATAATCGACAAAACACTTTAGTTTTGCTATACAGTAAATATCACTTTCATGTTATTTAATGTTCTTTGCTGTCTATGTTGTGGTTATAAACTTTAAACATACTGTATTTGAATTGTTTGTACTTTTTTCAGTTAAAAAATAGAATGACGATATTTTCGCATATTTTCTAATTCTTTGTCTGGCTTTAAATTGAATGTCATTACTGTATTATAATTATTATTCAATTTAAGATTTTGTTTTATAGCCTGTAAATCAATAAACACTGAATGTAAGCAAATTCGTAGTTTGAACTGTGCATGACCGTATCCAATGTCAATCGGGAATAATGTAATGAAGTAAAGAGAAAAGTAAAAGAGATTATGGTAAAAATAATTAAATATGGTAAAAAGATTAATGATAATTTCTCAAAAAGGACCCTAGATCTATCTGGTTAGGATTGAAAAGTATTACTTGTATGGGGAAAAAAATCTAGTAAGGGTAGCACCCAAAAGTATGGGTTTAAAAATGAGTTAAATAAATTCTTTTTAAGATTTGATGCTAAGGGTAAATGACAAGAATTTGTTAGGGGGAAAATAGGCAAACTAGGTGCTCATGATAGTCCTGTCAGTCAGTGAACATGATGTTAGAAAAACGTTTAAAAGCCCTTAAAACAGGCACAGCTGCTGAACCTGATGGCCTCAGCACTAGCTTTCTGAAACTGTGTGGCAATTAGCTTACATATGTGTTCTGTTGACTCTTCCAGTGGTCTCTTAAAACAGACACGAATTAGTTTATTAGTTTATTTGTGTCTGCTTGGAATTTAATTTAAAGGATTTTCATAGAGTGAGGTCCACATCTGATGTCAGCCTGCACATGAATGCAGATAGTACCAAACACAGGTTATATTAAAAACTAAGCAGAAAATGTATACAATGTGTCCTTTGATATATATTTCACATTAATACACACCATATGCTAATGTCAAGTGTAAAATCAATTACAAATAAAATTGAACTAAGATCATGCAATGATATTTTGAAGGCAATGAGTCCAATACAATGTCTGCTCAGCCACAGAATCATTAGTAACAGCCAAACCTAGGATCTTTCATCCAATAATAATTCTGAAGTACACAGAAAACCTCTGAATTTTTAGGGTGATGATGTCAATAATTCTTGTTCGTTTATCTCCATCTACATTAGTCTTCTATTTCTATACAGTTTTGGCTCCTTCCAACAACCTATTTAATATTTGACTATTAAAATTATCCCTTAAACTTGCTGGAATAAATGTTTTTTAGATCTTTCAATTTAGTCAATGGGAATCTTGATTGTTAACTTGATTCGGATTTGTCTTCTGTTTTGTCCTGTTTTTCTTTTGGCTTAATCTCAATTCCCCTATTCAATTGTGCTATTACATCCATATGTTTAAAATGCTGTGGTTGTTGGTTGAAAATCTTCAGCAAATCAAATCGCTCCTTATCATGATGGGCATAGTAAAGCTGCATCTGATTGGCTAAGAACTGTGCATCGGTGACACTCTGTCAAGAGAGGGTATTTCCATCATTATAGGCTTTCTGAGCCCATGGACAATTTGATTGATTTGATATTTAGAGTGGCTATAATGGGTTGGTTGTCGGGCAGATTAAAGTTTTCCTTGCATTTAGGTGGAAGATAAAATATGTATCAATGGTCTTTTGTGATGTCTATACGTGGAAATATACATATAAAAAATAAAATAACAAATAATCTTCAATATTTAAGAAAAATAATCATCTAAATTTTATTACCTTTAGATTCAATCAACTCGATGTAATGTATCATAGAAAGATGAATTGGTGCATTTTCTTGATAAGCCTGAAGACATAAAATATGATTACGGTGCATTAAATAAGTAATTTTTTGTTATAATCAATAATAATAGAGTACATGACACAGCATGATACAGGAAGAAGCCCCAACAAAACATGTTTCTCAATTTTTCATGAATTTACAGGCTTATTTAAACATTATTCAATTATTTATCAGAAATATAAAATTTTCAAGCGGTGATTAATTTTTGGAGAAATTTAACAATACTTTTGATGTAACATGAATGTATAAAACACCAGCGTGCTTACACATTAAAATTTGGTATTGGATGCAATTTTCGTTCTATCGAAATAGACAACAAAACATTAGCAGTAAGACTAACACTCAATAAAAACCACATATAAATTATAAAACTGCTATACTGTACCTCATTTGTACAATACTTTACTTCAACTCAATTTATATGTACAATCTACCAACATACCTGATAGTTGATAAGTGATGTAAAATGACAGTTATTTCCATCAAACTGGCCGAGGTAAAATTCAAATCCCTCATCTTGTGGTAATGGATACAGGAACTTGATAAAAAAAAATGAATTGAGTGTTTTTTATTTACATATTGACTGATACTATAGGACAATTCAAATTAGAAATTGATGGCTAATTAATGAAAATGTTGTTGATGAATATTATTATTTTGATTTTTATCTTTTGCCCACCTAAATCTGGCGAATTTTTTCGTAACTATTTGGTAATGTACTGAGTATTCGGTATGATAACATGTCAGTAGGGAAAAAATCCACACCTTATTTATGAATATAATATATTATAACCATTTTAAATTTATTACAATTATCTAACTTTGGATCACTTCCATAATGCTGCAAAAATTTTGAAGTACCTGTAGTTATTAGTCTTGTTTGTGTTTCATCTTCCTAAATTTGTGGTGGTGCAATTAGGAGGGAACCTCGATATGTAAGCATCATGGAGTATATTTTATTAGGACTTGATAATCAATATTTAACTTACTGAAGGGTAGAGAGTTGATTTTGCTTCAATTTCATGAAATACATCACTCTGGTGAAAAATTTTAAGACAAAAATATGAATTAAATTAATAATAATAATAATATTAATAATAATGATGATGATGATAATAATAATAAATATTAATAATAATATAATAATTTATATAGCGCACATTTCCACTCTATGAAATCCTCATCATGTAATTAAAATACAAATTATTCATACTATAACCGGTTTACATATTTCATTTTTTCAGACTTTCTTATATTTCTTGCTAATGACAATGTTAAACACAGAGAAACTTTGATTTGATTCCTCCACAATTTTTGCTAGCAGCTATCTACATTGTTGCCATGGACACTACAACCTGAATACATACAGGGATGACAGCTGTGATACAGTCCTTGGTCATGTGATATTCTCTCCAAATCTGTAAGTTTAATTAAATCAACAAATAAAATTAATGAATTGCAACTCATTAACGTAAATTACATTTTTTTCAATTATCCCACTGTTACTCTATATAAATAGAACAATGCAAAAAAATAAATATACTCAATTTCAATCTTATATAATACAGTGTAAGTGTATTCAAATGAATAATTATGATTTTTTTTTGGATTAACTTACATTTGTGATTTCATCTGCTGATTTTTCTTGAATAAGGTCAAGGTTCATAATGCTACCTAAGGACTGAGAAGTTTTATGTTATTTAAATAAATACATTGGTAAGTATAATGCTAAACAATACTCTAATGAGTAATACAGTATAATAGTATTTATCAAATGTTCTGCGGAAAAAAATCAATAAAAAAGTAATATAACAGTAATTACAAAAAGTTAAAAGACAAGCTGTTCTCTATTATATTCTAAATATTTTTAAAAACTTACTGGCATTTTTTGGGGTGTATTTTGCATAAGTTTAGCCTTTCTCTCTTCATATGCCTAGATCAATTCAAACAAAAAAATTTATGATAAAGATAGCATACATTATCTGCATCTTCCTTAACACCAAGAGTTTCTATAATAAAATATCTCAATGAAGCAATATACATTTACTTTGACATCTGATTCCTTAGGTTTCAATTCCTTTTTTGGAATTACACTTGGTTTTGATTTACCCATCGATTTTACTCTCTTGTGAAACTCTTCAGAGTCCGTACTGAAAAAAAGCAAGAAAACAGGACTGATTATCAATGAGTGCAGTATTATGCACTTAAATTAGCATTCCAATCCATCCTTATTATTTAATAATAATAATTATAATAAGTATAATGTTTTTGATGTTGAGCGTTATTAATAATTCTTTAATTTAATGGTTTTGATGCAATAAATTCAATTATTTAATAATAATAATTATAATAATTACTGTAGCAATCATTTATAATTATATAATAATTATAAAAATAACAAATGATTGCTATGGTAATTATTTATAATTCTGTTGTTTTCTCTTGTTTTTTACCTAAACAATTTTATGTAAATCTCAATGTAAATTTCCTATTTTGATGTAACATAATTCGTAATTCCGCCTTTTTGGCTGCCATGTTTTATTAAATTATGCTTTTTGTAAATTTTGAATTTTGAATAAAATACCATTATATATATTTATTTATGATTATTAAACAGGCCTACTGTAACAGTGTTTAATAATTAAAAACATATGCAAATAAAAAAAAAATGAAAAAATACACATGCTACATATTTCAATATTTATAGAGGCTCATCAGAGCGTGAAGACAAAAGTAAACAAATAGTAGGGCGCTTAATCCGAATTTCCGTTCTTGACGGCTCCCTGTCCTCTTGCATAAAGTGCCTAATAGAATAGATTGTGAAGGACGAGCTTAATCTGTTGTTGATGTCGTCTTTGTATTATTTATTATATTAATTATGTAGACTCGCTCGGCTCGGGTGTTCTGACCTTTGAAATTGTTGAATTTTATGCGCATATTTTTCAAAAAACGGGTTACTGCTAAGCTTTTCTCTGTCTTCGTCTTTCATCCTTTCATTAAAACGAAATGCTGACACTGATATGTGCCTTCGAGTGATGGATACTGGCCATTTGTTAACAGGTCGTGAAAACATCCTTACAATCATGGAGGCCGCCATATTAGATATAAGGAAAAAGACTATTCGCACGGTACCGTGGGAATAATTTCTTATTTCCGAAGTAGCTTACGTTACGTCATCACAACCTTCGATGCGGATTGGCTAATACCATGCGTGCGAACAGTCACTTTGTAGATTGTAAGAGGGCAGTCTTCGATGTAAACAAAACGTTGCGGGCGTACTTAAAAGTTGTCAAATGCGACGTGGAAAAAGTCAATTTATTATTTAGTTATTATTTGTGATAGATATTTTAACGAAAAAGGTACACGTCTTCTCTGTTATGTCTAGACGTAGTTGTTGTATATGCGTTTGTGTTTCAATGCAAAAATAGGCCTAGGCTAAATCATGGCCAACTAGGCTAGCCAGGTACGACGACGTCGTAGCTAGCCTGGCCTTACAGTACTTTTAGGCTGGACGCTAGGACTTTCTTGGCCTAGCCTAGGCCGGGCCCCACTAGGCCTAACCCTAGTCTTAGGCCTGGTTAGTTAGGGGTGAGGCCTGGCCTACAACTAGTAGTAAGTTAGGCAGGCCAGGCCTGCTTGGATCTCGAGGCACTAATGATAATGTAGTTAGGCTAGGTAAGTACTGTACTGCAGTAAGTAAGTAGGCCTAGTCCTAATAAGTGCTTAAGCCAGGGGCAGGGCCACAGTGTAGAAAAACCTGTGGTTTTTTCTTGGGGTGCTGCAGTGCACTCTTTGCTTGCAGTGCGGCAAAAAGCTGTGATGCAGTGACGTGTAGAAAAACTCAGTTTTCTATCACCGATCGGTGATGCTGTATAGTCGAGCATGTTTTCTATTTGCTACTGCACCATCATATTGGCACAAATTTCTGTTTTGGCACTATTCTATTGTTAGTGAGTGTGGTTCACTATAATAATAATAATATGTTAGATTTATATAGCCCTTAATGCCAACAAGGCCTCTCAACGCTTCAAAATACTACCCACGTTCACTGGATTAAACGCCTAAAGAACACAAACTCAAGCTCCCTGGGGGAGTATTCTATAAAGTTGTAGCAGCTACATCAGCACATTTTGGCATTTAATCCTACCAGGTACCCATTTATACTCCTGGGTGGAGAGAAGCAACTGCAGATAAAGTGCCTTGCCCAAGGACACAAGTGAAACACAGAGTGTGGGGATTGAAACCCCGACCTCGAGGTTGGGAAACCAAACCGTATGTTGCAAGTGTTATAGGTAGTACCACAGTGGTAAAGTCAGAGTAGAAGAACTACTATCACCTGAAAGGGTGTGCCCCTCAATCTCCGACTTCCTTAAAACATTAATAATATTAAACATTAATGATAAAAATAGCAATAAAAATATAAGATAATTATTTTAAAAATTCAAATACAAAGTAATCAATCGGACAATAGAAAAATTGACATTAAAAAGATTCAAAAAAGTTTAATTATTAAAAAAAAAAGTATAAAAGTCTCAATAATTGAAATTTTAAAGGCTAAATATAAAAATTCTAATTATACAAAACAAGTAAAAATACAGAAACATTTTATTATTAAACATCAATTATTAAATAGCAATAAAAATATAGGATAATTTTTATATACAATTTAAAATAAATTAAAATAATTTTTTAATAATATTTTACTGTATTTCAGATGACTGCAGTTAAATTGAACTTGAAGTATATCTCCCTGGGGATTCTGATTCTACAAACGACATCTCTTGTACTGACGATGCGCTACTCTCGCACCGTGCAAGATGATGGTCCTAGGTACCTCTCCTCAACAGCGGTAGTTTGTGCGGAAATCTTAAAGGTGTTAGCTTGTCTTGGACTTGTTGCTTATCAAGAAGGTATTATTACAAACACAGTGGTAATAGTAATAGTTAAAATCGATAAGAGATTTATCTTTGATTATCACTTGTGTGAAATTTAATTTTTTTTGGTTGACTTTTGTTGGGTATAATTCTTAAACTTATTTTCACAACACAAGAAAATGTACTCACTATGAATTTTCATTTATACTTCAACAATTATGGTTACTTGTCAAAAAGGTCAATAGCTGTAAAACATTTTACTTTGGATGAGTATGTTTAATTGATCCTTAAAGTGGCTTCTGGGTGTTGTCAGCAGTGTGCATTGAGGAGGAATGATTTTGAATATGTCTATTATTTAAATTAGATACAACCATATAAAACCAATGAACAACACATACACAATACAGAAGTATCTTCTATCTTGTAAAAAAATTCTATGCATTTATTAATACTTTTTTCTTTTAGGAGGCATTTTACAGTTATGTAACGTTGTTATGACAGAAATTATTGGAAAGCCATTGAGCACTCTAAAGCTAGCTGTTCCTTCAGGGCTCTATACTATTCAAAATAACCTTCTTTTTATTGCTCTATCCAATCTAGATGCTGCCACTTATCAGGTAATTTTATTTCAAAACTGTGTAACCATTCATCTAACCATTCATCCACAAAACCACCCTAATCATCCACTTTTCCATGCATCCATCCAGTTACCTATCCATCCATTTATCCAAAAATCTAACCATCAGTTCATCTATCCATTTTTCATCAGTTCATCCATTCATCTATTTTTTCATCATTCATTTATCAATCTATCCATTCATACAACAGCTGGGATTGCCCATTACAATATACAAACAATACAACAAATTGTATGATGTGGTAATGAAAAATCAAACATTTTAGAAATTCTTATAAAACAATTAAAATAATATTTCACACAGTCTACATACCAAATTTGTTTGAGTTAAATTATGTAGAAATATAGCACATGTTATGCATAAATCAAGTAAAAGACTTTCAGTAATGGAGAGCTGAAAGGGTTAACCTTATTAAATATGGTTTGAATAAATAAAAAAAAAAAACAGGAATTACATATATAGAACTATTAAAATGCCAATGTGAATCTCTATTGTAGGTGACATATCAACTCAAGATATTAACAACAGCCATGTTTTCCGTTGTGATGCTACGCAAGTCATTAAATTCCAGCAAATGGATAGCACTAATATTTCTCATGATAGGTGTTGCTCTTGTTCAGGTAATTCTTGGTTGTAATTGGCAAGGTCACATCTTATCGATACTTACGATTGGTTAGTCATTATGGGCGAGAAACACATGGTAATAGTGTTTTAATACTTCATTATTATTTATATTAATTATTTATTATAATAATTTTATGTGTAAATATCGGTAGGAACAGAGATGTATTCAAGTGTATCATTAAGATGTGCAGCCTTGTGATATCAATGTGCTAATAGCACATAAGCATATTATAGCATATAAAAATGATAGTTATAATTTGTTATTTATTCTCTCTAATTTATACTTTATTATCCCCTCAGCAATTCATTTTTAGTACAAAACAGGATTTAACTTTCTAATGATTGCCAGAAAGTGTGCAAACAAATAGAAGTTATTTTTTCAGATGCCAAGTAAAAGCAAGGATGATGAGTTAAAGACTATTTCAGGAACTAATCAGATCTTAGGCCTGTTAGCTGTGATCTGTGCATGCTTCTCCAGTGGCTTTGCTGGGGTGTATTTTGAAAAGATACTCAAAGGAAGTAAACAGTCCATCTGGCTCAGGAATATACAACTCGGTAGGTAATTAAAAAAAAAACCTGGTAGTTTAGGAGTGGTTGTTTGCAGATCTGATTATTTAGGGTATGTTGGGAATAAACTGGCACTATTTTACTTATTATTACTACTACTTACTTAAATTTATCCCACAATGATAATTCTTATCATTAGCTGCAATATATAGAGCAGAGTTCCAATCACCGGAGTAATAATGAAAATACAAGTGTTTAATTTATCAAAAAATTGCAGAAAATAAGTACAGTAGATTGCTTGACCAGGAGTGGTAAGTACATGTAATACAGAATGATGTTTGCCCTACCTGACATGTTTTAGGTACTGAATGCTCAGTACATTCCTGAATACTTGCAAAAAAAAAATCTCACAAGTGATCTTGCAAATACATGTAATGTTGGGAATGATGAACACTGTCATAAACATGAAATAACACTCTATATATATATATATATATATATATACATATATATATATATATACACATATATACATATATATACAGCTGTCAAAAGCAGTGGATTTTTTCAAGGATATAACAATATTACATTTGCTGTTATTTTACTACAGGTAACTATGAATTAAGCTTCATATTAAATGTGGATATAATATAATATGATTTGATTGATATTGAATTGAATATTAAAATGAAATTGTATGATAATATAGAAAGACAATTTTTTCCAGATTCATATTAATTCTTATTAAATTATAAAATTAATGCTATGTTTTAAAAACAAGAGAAGAAAGATATATTCTGTTATTTATATTGTTTTCATGTATTTATATTGTAATTTCATGGGTAATTATATTGTTTATATTGTAGGCATTTGGTGGCTTAGTCATTGCAGCTGTTATTAAGTATGCAGACAACATCCTTAAGGGTTTTGCTACCTCTTTATCCATCATTTTATCAACGCTTGTATCATACTTTGTTCTTAATGACTTTGTTCCATCAATGTAAGTTGGTCCTTTACATCTTACTTGATTTTTATAAACCTTTATTTGTCTCTAAACATTCCCTCCTATCCATGTTCCTACATCCATCAATCAATCAATCAATCATTTTGGTTTTCTACATAATTGGTTGGAGTAGTTGGCACAGTAAATCATAAGTTTGAAACCTATACCATACCGTCCGCTTGTGCTCTTTGGCAAAGCATGTTTGTATCTCTCAACCCAGGACTATAAGTGGTTACCAAGCTTCTTCCAATAACTAGATTGTCACCCTCTCTAGATTCAATATAATTCCCTTTGAATCTAGGCAGAAATTCTTCATCATTTGTTTTCTCTCAAAAATTGTCCAGAACCCACATTACCCATTACACAATTGTCTCCGCTCACGTCACTCCTGCACTACTTCTTGCTTCATTCTCGTCAATCTTCCTTTCTTCCTTTCCCTACTCGTACCTTGCATCTTCATTCATTATTTTTGCCATATTATACTCTTAGTCTTCCTTTCGACCTGGCCCTTGATCCCACTAATATCACTTCTACTGACATTAAGGCAGTTCTTAATTTTTAAGTTCACTATATTGTACTTGCCAAAGAAAACTGTCATCTTTTTGTTATTTTATAGTTATTATTTTGTGATTATAAATTTGTGAGTGTGGAGATTTGCCCTTGTTGGCTCAAGTAGCAATAAAATTACTGAATCTTGAATCTTGAATTATTATGGTCACATCAAAGAGCATAGAATATAGAAGTCCGACGTCCGAATCTGATTTTGTAATCACACAATGAAAAGAAAAACAAAGTACTACCACAAGCGTTGTAGCACCCTATTTGAATTTGAATAGAGTTTGAAACTTGAACATGTGTTCTATAGACACAGCACACATTCGATACAAACGCCTTTTACACTTTTTCAAAGAACGCCCTCTAGTTTGTGGTAATACTTTTTGAGATAGGATTGTCTTGCCTCTTGCTATTCTATAAACCATTAGGATGTGCACTGAGTGTGTTAAGTACAAATAGTATGAATGTCACTCCAAAAATTGACAAGGCCATTTTATTCAACGTTTCGCTTTTATTTAAGCATCATCAAGAATGATGATCATTCCTGATGATGCTTAAATAAACGCAAAAATGGCCTTGTCAATTTTTGGAGTGACATTCATACTATTTGCTATTCTATACTCTTTGGTCATATATGCATATGAACTTTAGCAACTATTCCACAGAGTGAGGAAAATGTTGGACACAGTAGTAATCATGAAATAAAATATATACTAATAATAATAGTGGCTATTTTTGTCACTGGTGTCAAACCAGACACGCATGCCACCTGATGTGTGGACTTATTAAATAAATTATTTTTATTTACTTGGACAATAAAGTTATCTATCTGTCTTTGTCCCAAGGGTCACTTGTGTCTGTGCTGTTACTCAGTAAACCGTTGCTAGATCTTTTTGTCTGCCTACAACGGGCAGGAGTGGTTAAACCCCCCCCCCCTCCACCTCACATTCCAGAGACTGGCCCAAACGTCTGGTCAGTGAGCCTAGAGCTCTAGTTTCAACTTTACTTTTATACTAATAATTTTATGATTTTTTCATTACTTCCAGTTTATTCTTTCTTGGAGGAAGCTTTGTGATTGGTGCAACCTTCCTGTACAGTCGTGAACCCAAGCCAAAGGTCACGAAAGAAATGGTTGTATAAAAGATTTAATACCAAACTGTCTGTCCTGTAGATAATATGTTGTTGTATGGACAACATGTTTTATCTTAATTCAACACTGTGTTGTTTATTAATTTTTGTTATTTATATTTATTTTTACTTCAGGTGAAGGCTGGTTGATGACTAATAGTATTAATTATTGTTTATGGATTATTATAACAAAATATTTTGATCTGATTTTATACTAGTTTCTTTCATAAAAATATAATGCTACTTATTTCTGTGTTAGCACACAATAACATTCCAAAGTAATAAAACTACAGTAATTATGAGTTCTTTTTATTTGAAAGCATCATTATTAGTGGACGGCAGGTTCACAGAATAAGGTATAAAAAGCTTTGCCTAAAGAGGCAGTTTGATGCAGTATAATAGATTATTTTTCCAGACTCAAATTCAGGGTTTCAATCCCATGCTGTGCATTTCATTTAAGTGTTCATGCGCAAGGTATTTTATCTGCATTGCTTTTCTTCACCCGGGCACTCAAAGAGGTTGCCTGCTACTGTGCTTACTGCAGTAACACTTAGTAGACTTAAAGACCAGGAAAGGAAAAAATGCAAGGAAATGCACTATACACGCAACCAATAATAAGTAACAACAATTAACAGTATTATCAGGGACAGATCCCGAGATGGCAAAGGGCAGGGGGGGGGGGGGTGTCAATCGAGAGACAACACTACCCTTGTGGTTGGGGGTAATTGTAAGACGCCCGGAAGGGTGGAGGGCTCGGGTCTGGCTCGTCCCCAACAGCTGTTAATTTTTAAGGAAAATTTTCTAGTTTTCAAGTGGAAGCTAATTACTTAGAATCACTTTATAAGTGATTAATATAAGGCTCAGCACCTTTGATCATTGATTTAGAATTGACGGTTATAAATGTTCAGCATTATAATCATTATTATTTTTTTAATTATTTTTATTAAGTCTCAATCAAACATTTGATTGTAATTTTTTAGCTCATTATAGACTTTTACCTTAAAATTGTTATTAATATATCTCTCAACATTTCTATTTCTATAAGAGGATGTTTAAAATACTATATATTCTTGCTTTTGTATATACTTGTGTATACATATAGAAGGTTCATGCTTATCTGTTTCTATTTTTCTAAGAACCATTTCTATGTAGATTGTACAAAAATGTTGATAAAAATATTGTGTAGTAATGTATATGTAGCAATACCTGGTATTCTTTTATACAATAATAAATCTTAAAATATGTTCATAAAAATGAACATTTAAACCAATATGATATAATAAGCAACATCAATAATTTTATTCAGGTTGTGTTCAGCAAATCAATCGTCAATGGCTGTTAAGTGTTTTACATTAATTTATTTTACTTGGAAGACACTTTTAAATCCACTCTTAACCTTTGATTTTCTTCTATTGTATTATGTTTCAAGAGAAATATTAACTAATATTTAATGAACTCCCAATTAATTATTAATGCATACTTTTTATCAAATTGTTGAGAATTAATTGCTTTTGCTCTTCTTTTATAATAATTCCATATAGTATTTTTGTAAAGCTCTGCCTACATTATCTATTTTGATGTGAAAATTATCTTTGATTTACCCATATACTGTATGGGCATGATGATGTCGTATAACCCCATATGGTAACCAAGGTAATTCAACAGCAGAACGCACATCTCCGCTCTCAAACATAGCGCGTGCGTACAGTCCTTTGATCTTTACTGTGGCATCGACAATCCGATACTAGTTGCGAGTACAGCTGTCAATTATTAGTCTATGCGTGCCATACGTTTTATAGTGTTAGTTACTATTTTATTAATTTTGGGTATAAATTGCAATTTAATTTGTGGAAATTGACCAAAAAAATGAAAAGTTATAACAAATGAAAATTTAAGAATTTTATAAAATTTCATGTTCTTATGTAACATTAAACAGTCATTTTGACAATGTTGGACTAAGGTGCACAAAACGAACAGTTGAATAGATACAGAACATTTATTAATTTTTTCTGCGAAGTGAATCTCACCACAATATCGGTAAAATTAATGTTGAAATGAAGAAGATAATTTCAGTCTAATGTTAGTGCAAATTATCATTAGGCCTTTGTAATCACCGCACGACGCGTGAATATCATGGCAACTAACATACACGTGAGTAATTCGTCACGTACGCGGTTTATGGTCTGGTTGCTATGGTTTTTGTGACGTTCAGCTTGTAGGGACGCATGTGTGCCTAGAATGTCAATGCCAGAGTTATAACCTTTGATGTCCTGAGATGTGCATCCTTCTGTTGAATTGCCTTGGTGATACCAGGGAGTTGTTATCACTATAACAACTCCCTGGTGATACCAAGTGGCAAATCACAAGTATTTATCACATAAAACTTGTTGATGTGGATAAAGCTTAAGCCGGTTTTACACTAGGCGAATTTGAGCGTTTGTGTAACACCGGCTTTAAGGTAGACCGAAGAAAATATGGTCCACTGGAGGAATTGATACAGTGACACTCAACTTGCCATCCGTTGCTATGCCAACTGAGCTCCTGCTTGTTTTGATTCCTGTATCACCCTATAATTCTTTGCTCCACCATATTTACTGCAATTTACAGTGCGGGTTATTTTTGTATTCTTATACACTATATTAGTGTCCTTGTTCAGTATATGTATGTATTTGATTTCAGTGGGGGTTTTCTAGAATTTCTTAGTGCAATAAAATGAAGGACAAATATTTTTGATGTATTGTGTATTTGTGTTGTGAAATTCTTTTAATAGTCATAAATTATTCAAGCCATTATTGCATTGATGAGTTGCAATTATCTTTCTCTACCCATTCCACTGTATACACCGCGCCAATCACAGGGGAGCAGACGCAGATCCAGAGTGATTTGACAAATTTTAGGCTTCTGGTTTTGTTCTCTAGGTATTTGGAAATACACTTTCGTATATACGAGACATCTATTAATGAATGAATACACTTTGAGTTCACAGTTTTCCCTTTTACTGTGGACAATTAATAATTACTGTATAATGATGAGGCGGCACCCGCCCGTAGCTAGGTGAGGACAGGCTCCTGTAAAAGATTAAATAACAGAGGCCCGTAGCCTGAGTACGGTTGGGTGGCGTCACATTTTCAATACACACAGGCAACATTATGATCAGTATATTTTCGACTGTCATGAAAATTTCATATATCCAAGAAATTATGTTGCATGCATGCTCCAAATAGGAAGGTTTAACCTAACATTTTGATATATGGTTTATGTTGTTTGTTGAATGGTCTTTAACGATATTACATTTTTTGTTACGTGGCTTCAGACCCATATGAATTTATGTTTCCTAAACATTAGAATATGGCAGAAAAAAAATACATACAATTCAAATAGGAATGTTAAATATCACAGAAAATAGTAGAAACACACAAACAAAACAAAACACACAACAAACATTCAAATGAACACATAAAAATTGCAAACAAGACTAAAAACAAATACAGCAACAATTTATTTCCTCTAAAAAATATAAAAACAAAAAAAAAACTTATGTTGTTTGTTGAATGGTCTTCTTTAATAATACTACAGTCTAATATGATTGACCACAACGTAAGGAAGTCCATAATTTTTTAATGTTTAGCATAATACAGTACAGAGAATTTTGATTGTTTATCAATATCATTGTACATATGCTAGATCTAATTTCAAGGAAATTATTGTGCGCATTGACATGGAAAATTTAACCTAATAATCTTGTTTATTAATATTAGTCTAAAATTTATATTATGACCACAAATTTCAAGTAGTAACTTATTCTTAAGGAAAAAGACCGTGCAATTCTTTTAATAATTGTACTCTGACCAAAACCAAACTTAGTATTATCTACCTCCATGGTATTATTGTGCCTTCACCAGCTGGGAAAGCAGTGGCGTATCCAGGGAGGGGGGGGGGAAAGCAAAAAAATTAGGCTTAGGCTTATGCTGTCGCGGTTAACGTGTATTCGGGAAATTAAGAAGCAATATTTTTCTGTGGGCGTGGCCACCGAAAATAATTTCCACGCCCCACCCACCAGCCCCCCCATTTTAATACTGCTAGATACGCCACTGTGGGAAAGTAATTAAATATGCATATATTGTCTTCTGTGATTGGTTGATTGCCATAACCTTTCAATGTTTAATGAATATAATGCTTTGGTAGATGGATATAATTGTGTGGAGTATATGATCACTTCTTATGATAGATTACATCCACGGAGTGCCCCAAAGCCATAATCTCAAAAATGTAATGGATAAATCACGTTTTTCCGAATCATGACAGACTGAGTAGATTACTGGTTAAAATGTAAAAAGAAAAGATTTAGATATCTTCTCAACTTCTCAGTATTTTTCTTTAATTCCTTTTCACTTCCAACGCTGTTTGATTTGAAATTCACATACCATTCATGCCGCTGCTCTTCCTCCGATTCCGAATTCATTTGCAGTCTCTCAGTGCTCTGTGGCCAATTTTGACTTTCTTTTAAGGTCTAGGTCCAAAATTAGGCTACCCACTCCATTAAAGACCATAGCATTCGTTAAAATAATGAAATTATAATTAATTAAAAAGTAATAATTAAAATAATAGGTTTTTGCTTTAGTGCGATTTTGAAATAACAAAATATAATAAAATTATATATGCCATTCAATAAGGTTATAAGAATCAATGCACATGTATCCCTGTGATTGATTTTTGATTAACCATACCTAGTGACATAAATAAAAAAAAACAAAAAAAAAACTGTGCATTATCACAGTACAGTACATCACACAGCTGATTATTACAGTCCTTTATAATTAATACTTAAACAATGCAAAAAAATACTGCATTTATTTTGTCTATATTTATGTCTTTGGTTGAAGTAGGTGGCATTTCTGACTGAAAGAGTTGGAATTGGCTAGACCACCAGGCACTGCAATCACTTTATATAAAAAAAATATTTTATCTTTCACTCTGACCTTCGCCATGTCTACCGGTGCGAAGGTCAGGAGAGAAAGCACAGAATGTTGAAAACTATAAAGAAGCAAGTGCATTGACTGGGATTGTGGTTTTTGTAATCCTTAGGTTTCTAGGATGTGGTTGGCTTATTGTTTGTGTTTCGGGTTCTAATGTGCAGTGAACTGAGAAAGGTTGTAGCTACAATTGTTGTGTGTCTCGGCATGGAACCAGGGGCCCATCGGATGCAGTGGTAATTTCCTCTGGGGGGGGGGGACAGTGGGAGCAAAGTAAACCCTTCAAAGCTGAGAGGTTATAGATAATTTTAGTTGAATTTGTGAGCAAACATTTCAAAGATCTTTGAAATTAACCCATTTCCCGCAAATTAATATTTTTAGGTTTTCACTACTGTATATCAACTGTTTATCAAGTCAGGTTACACTGGGTAGCACCAAGCACTGCAAAATAGAATTAGATGTGATTAAAGAAAACTCATTTTAACAGAAGTCCTGGAAGTAGCTTGTTTTAACTTGGAACACCTGCAAACACGGAAGCACTTTGACATGGTCTACGGATTATATTGAACATAACCGTTAATCTGCTTTTATCTTTTGGTGGTTCCTTGATGTTCAAATAAACAATAAAAAATTATGTTAACTCTTACCAGTGATAATTTATTGTTAAAGTACACTTGGAATGTTTTTTTACACATACAGTACTGGTAGTTTGATATTTTAAAATATAGATATTGTGTTAATTTTACATTTGTATAGCTCAATTGAACAGTTCACTATAGAACATTACTCTCTTTGAGTTTAAAATGAAAATAAAGGAGACACTATTCAAAAAATTTAATAAATTTAACTAACCAAATAAATTAAATTATTAATCGACCTAATAATAAATCAAATTTATTAGATAGTATTCATAAATATATAGGGGATGAATAAAAACAGTCACAAATTAATCAATTAAATTATCAATGAACCTACTAATCAATGAATGTATGTATCAGTCAGAAAATTAATTAAAAATATCATTGGATCAAGATGTTTTTTAAAAATAACAATGGAAAATAGTAAATATAAATTGAAACAACATTAAAATTCATCTCTTTATCAATTTCCAGTAAGATTTGCTTCATCACTTAGGTTGTACTAGCTTAGCACGAGGTGTTGGTACATTTGGTATCTTGTAAGGCCTCCTACGAGGACTTTTCAGGTACGCTGCGACTCTAGGCATAGCCTTGAACTTCTGATAGAATGTGTTCAGCTTGGTATAGCTATCAAGGACACTTATCAATGGCTCTCCCATATCATAGGTAGCAAACTCCACATTTGAATCCAGAAGATCAAAGATGATAAAATCTACCCAGGTCAGACGGCCATCAACAAAATAAGGAGAACTTTCCTATAAAATCAAATAAAATCAAGATGATTAGCTATAGAGTACAACACTCCTAAAGCGGTCATTACGCCTGTGAATGACTTCATAATCTTAATGGTTTTAGAATAGGCTTTCTGGAAAAGGAATGTTAAAACCTAATAATTTACCATCAAAATGTACCAAAAACACAAAAACTCACATTTTATCAAACACACATTTAATCAACAATTAATCATCAATTAAAATTTACGAAGAAAAATTAAGATACAACATCTTAATAATTATGTTAGAAATTGGGATCAGTGGTTTGTCAGTGGAGACAATGGAGCCATTTGACCACATTTTGGGTCGCTGATAGCAATGATGTAGTATCGTGTGGTATCGTGACGTAACAATGTAGTACTCTATACATCATGTTACTCACTGTACATATAACATTTATTTGACATTTTATTTTTTACGTGAATCACTCTATTTTGTACGTACTAAGTATTGTGTCAGTGATAATACTACTCAAAAGTTACGCTTGTGCAAAGAAGAAGATTAAAAGTAAAATGGGTCAGGACCGACTGAATTCCCAGGTACTGATACGAAAGTACATACATGGAGTGAAGGGTATGTTAGTTTGCAAATAACATACCTTCTAAAATGCAGGTTTTAAGATCTTAACTAGTTAGCGATTTAGTTAGATCAATTTGGATTTTGTTACATTTAGCTGATGTCTTTTAGATCTCAACAAAGTGATAATAAAATTTAATAACAAAACTGATGAATGTATTGAAATTTTCTACATTTTGGCATGGATAGTGGTTGCAATTTAAAGTATAATAAGCTATCAGTTGTAATGACGCTTTTTAAAGAGGCTTTCATTTGTAATGAATTTTAGTCTACATGACGTAATTCATTTAGTCCAGGAGTGGGCATAAAAATGGGTCGGAGGGCCAATGTGAATCTTTTATTTAACATCGAGGGCCGCACCCAAACTTTGATGTTTCCAGTGCGCTTCCAAAAACCTTCATACACTGCATTCATACCACTTCATGCTCAGCTTAAATATTACAGTTTACAGGAAATCAGTGTTGGGCCGTAAAAAGCAAGGTATTTTCTAGCCAAAGATGGTTGGTGGGCCGCACACATTGGGTTTTTATTTCTGCGGGCTGCAAAGAAAATGAATCTTGGGCTGTATGTGGTCCGCGGGTTGCATGCGGCCCACCTGTGTGATTTAGTCACTCGTTTTTTTATGCAGTAAGACGTAGCTGGAGTATAATCCTTTAAGTGTTCTGCTTTTCAAATATTACGGGAAATATTCCTCTGAAAACATTTGCGTACCCTTTAAATTGTTTACACTGAGCAAAGGCTTTACCCCCTTTACCCAAACTAACACCAATTCCCAGCCTCAAAGTGGAAACTTTCAATTGGTTTTGTGCCTGCCTGTTATCAAATTCTTTAATTTTCCATTGTTATCATTATCCTCATGATCATTATTATCATCATCACCACTATCAACCACATCATCATCCATATCATAATTATCATTATCATTCTTATAAATACCAACATAAACATCCACATTAGTATCATCCACCTGCTTATTAACTTGATTACCAAGCTGCCATCATCAACACCATCACCATCCTCACTGCCAACATCATAATCTTCATCAGTATCAATCTCTTGCACATCATCATCATTATCATTGCCATTATCATCCTCCTCCTCCTCTACTCCATTCTCCAATCTTAATTGTCACTTTCATCATGTTTACCTGCTGATGGAGTGATGGAGCAATCTTTTCGAAGTAGCCCAACCACATCGGCGCAGTGTTCAAGATATAATCATTCCTCATGTCCACAGAGAAGGAACTGTCATACAAAATCTTGGACAACTTACTGCGAAAATCCTCTGAAATAAAAAATAATACAGTTGTTAGAACAAAGCCATGCAACAACAAACCATCCAAAACATTTCAGAATTGTGGCAAACATGGGTCTAATAATCAAGGGTCCCAAGTCTTCTGGAAATTGGCCAGTGGCAGATCAACCACAGATTCAAAACCATTTGGTCTTTAGGTCTTTGCTTCTTGCGCCACTCCCTCAAAAAATACTTGATCCACCACTGATCCCACACCCTTTAGATACACTGAACTAAAGTACTATCTAGGACATATGTTATTGACTACATACTTAACTTTAATGCTGTATTATATATACTTTTTATGAGAAAGAGATGTGAAGAGTATTAAACATACCTGCACCTCTGGCCAAGATATCACAATAGTGCAGTGATTCACAATCACACTGCATCCCAGTGGCCCTTCCAATGTATTGCGCAATAGTCTGGCTTTGAACCAAACTCAGACCACCTGAGGTTGTGATTGCCGGAACTGAAATAGAAGAGGATTTAATTGTTAAATAATTAACTTAAAAATTAATGGAAAATTTGGCATATATAGTGCATAGGCTACTACAATGCAATGTCTCTATGAGCTCTTTTACCCAGTGTCAAGAAAAAAGAAATAAAAGAATACAGAAGAAGATCAAGAAAGATTAGAATTGTGGAAAAAGAAGAGATTTAAGTCTGGATTTAAAAATAGCCAAAAATGAAGATGACCTTATGAAATTCAGTAAGTTACTTCACAACTTTGGTGCAGCAACCAACATAGGTTTTCAACATGATCAGAAGGACAATAAAGAATGAATCATTGGAAAAACTTGATAATCCATATCATGAACTGTGATGGAAAACCATGCACAAGAAGATCATAAGCAAAGCTATAAGTCTCTACTAAAAAGGTAAAAAATTAATAATTAAATGTTAGGGAAAAAAGGATAATCAAAATATATGTGAGACAGTATAATTATTACAAAGATTAAGAGTTATTGAATTAGAGAAAATACAAACCCTGTCCAAAAGTATACATTCCACTCTCAACGCCTTTTTTCTTCGCTTCTGGCCAAGTATCTTTTGTGAAGTTTGTTTCGTTATAAGGTATCTGGGCTTCTTCCAACATCATTCGAATAACCTCACCACGCCCTCTACCATTAAAATAGTGAATTGTAACAAAGTCTATATCGCCAACAGGCAGACAACCTTTCTTGCCAGTTACAAGTTCACTCACCTTCCTACAAAAGAAAATAAAAATTAAAAGGAAGAAAATAATTTGAACATTCCATTAAAAATATATTATAACAAATGAACAGGACACTACATTGGGCAATCTGAGCAGGCAAGAAACATGGCAACAGCCATGACGAGCTAGTAACAGTCATGTGACGCTTAGAAAACAGTCATACGAGCTAGAAAACAGTAAAAAAAAAAAAAAATATATATATATATATATATATATATAGGCCTATATATATACACAATATATATACATAATATACATATATATATGTATATATACATATATAAAATATATATATAAATAAATAAACTACATAACAGTTTTCAATAGATTATATTTAAAATATCAATAATACAAATAATAAGATAAAATAAACATTTCATAGTGCTTGCAAAATAAACAAAAATGTATAATGTAGTATTTATATTGTTTGTAAATTTAAAAAAAATCAGAGACAGTGTAAATTTATTCTCTCAAATTTCTATTACACTTCTACATACATTTCAAAATGATATTGCAATATCTTATTATATAATTGCCTAATAATGCAATTGCTTTTTGTTTCATTTTTCAAATACATGTGATCATTATCTAGATATTCATTTCCTTAAAATACTGTGATTATCTATGGATCAAAAACTTCCTTCTTCCTCCATCCTACTCATTACAAGAGCTCTCTGTAGTTTCCCTATCTCATCTACTTCCTCCTGACCTTTCTAACTATATAAATATTTATTATTGCTACTAACTCTGAAGTCTACATCATTTAGATACTTGAGGCACTGGCTGATATAAGCAGTCTTAGTGAAAAGATTATGTTTTTACTTTTCACACCCAGCTATTAAAACACCATTAATATTTCATGGATTACACTCAGTTTGCTAATGAGGCTTAAAAAATGTTGACTCTTCAATATTTCAAATTCTTCTTCTTTTGATTAGCTGAGCATCTCGAAAATCCTAAACTAGGCTTCCAATTGATGCATTATGGGAGATTTTAAACGGACAGAACGGGTTCTTCTATCGGTAAGTTAATCATGGTAAAAACTAATTAAGACAGAAATATGTTATGAATACTATTATGGGAAAATTAATTTATGTGAGCCTTAGTTCACACATTAATAAACATTTATTCAATTTGTCAATTTTAAAGTATTTATTTTTGGTTTTTCTATTTAATAAAGACTACACTATTATTATTATTATTATTGTAATCTTATTATATATATATATATATATATATACACACATATATATACAGTATATATACATATATGTATATATATACATACATATATATATATATATACATACATAATATATATGTATGTATATATACATAAATAATATATATGTATAATAGAATTAAAAAAAAAAAATATATATATATATATTAGATATAATATGATGATTATATATATATATAATGATTAGATCAATAAAATGGACATATTAGGCCTAGTAATCTTTATCTATTCATTAACACGAATAACATTTCCAATATTCTAACCAATTTTTATATAGCCAGAGTTAGTTTCGACCTAGACAAACCTTTGCTAAAAAGGTACACTTTCTCCATGAAAAGGCTTCTTCTACGAATGGAATGACCTGTTCGAAGCACGAAATCCTGTAAACCAAACCAAGTACCGTTACGATGTTTAGTCGTACGGGAAATCCACTCGCCATGCAGTACCGTTACGATTTTTAATCGTACGGGAAATCCACTCACGAAATATTTTCTAATTTTATTATATTACCACCTTTTTATTACATAGATCTTTTTCAAAACATAACTGCTTTTAAGAAAGTATAATACATACTCCAAGCATTGAAATACACGCCATCGTTTGAATCCCAACACGATGGCGTGTATTTCAATACTTGGAGTATGTATTATAATTTCTTATCCGAGATTAATCAGTGGACCTTTCGGTAACTGCTTTTATAACATTATATAGACCCATTAAACACAAAAACTGCTCTGGCTTCGGGGGCCCTTAGGCAGGCCTCTGGATCCCACACCCAGAACCCCCCAAATACGAAAATGAAACGATAGCATACGTTGACATAATAGACATAAAATTTTATTCAAGATGAATATTTCGGACACGCCTGTGTCCTTCAGCGTTTATATGTATGAATGAGAAATACAGAACAGATCAAAATAAAAAAAGGAATTAACCCTGTCTCTTATACACATCTAGATGTGTATAAGAGACAGTATATATATAGGCCTCTAGCTAGCTTGGTGTTTATTGTTTTGTTTGTTTATTTCTGGCTTTGTTTTGTCTTTATTTTTCTGTAATATTGTCAAGCGCATAGAGACCTTGTTTATTTGCACTATGTAAATCCATCTATTATTATTATTATTATCGTTATATATTGGTAACAAGTATTACCATATTATTATAATTAAAATAATCATAATATTATTACAATACTGTATTATTATAATACTACAGTAGTATCATTAATTTAATATTAAGCACAACACTATGTATTTAATAGTGAAATCTATATTTGCTCTTTCTCTTCATTTAATTTTATCACACTGTATTAATAAAATTATCAAAGGACAAAAACACAAAGCAAGAACATAATCAAGAACATTATACAGGAGGTGGACTGGGATTGCCAATTAGCAAAATTAATCACTTGTGCTTCTCCAACTCCCATCCAACCAAACAAAATACTTGTAAATCATTTTCTAATGAACATAAAATTTATATCATAAATTACCATAAAAATATTTTTTGAACAATTAGATTTAAGAAATTCAGTTATAACAAGTTTAAAATTTCATCGCTAGAATTCATACAAAGTTTAAATATCTGCGTTTAATATAGTGGTACAGAATATTAAACACAGATATTAAACTTTGTATGTGTGTTCAATATAGTGGTACAGTATATGTGTTTATGGTTGTTATGCCAAAAGTGGCGTACTTACTGTAAGAGTCTTCAAAAGGGGTGCTGATGGAGAGGGGGTGGTGCACAATGATTTAATGAGGGGAGAAGGTGGAGTGGGGGTGGAGCACAATGATTTAATGAGCTAGGTTGAGTACAATATTTTTGTTTTAGACATTTTCAATGGGAGAGCAACTGGGAACACGCTTTTTTGGGGCCTTCTTTTTTGGGGGGAGGGGGGTGTGCGCACCCTCTAGATACTCTACTGTTGATTCTGATAAATTACAGAGTTGAACATGAAAGATGAACTCTGAAACGAAGGATATTGTTTGTTTGTTTTATTGGTTTTTCCACACACAACATAAAAAGTATGTACATTCGGAATGCAAACTTAACTAAATATTACAAAAAAAAAAAAATAAAAAAAAATTCATATAATGACTGTAAATTAGAAATCAAATAAATAAGTGTGTGGATGGAGACCACAATAAGTTTGTACAAACTTTAAATCATGGCCACCGGTTAAAATTGGAATAAAATAAAATTAGATCTGATGACGAACAAATAACTATAGGCCTATGTGAATAATCATGGATATAAAGGTCTCTAGGGGAGAAAATACTTTAGCGACAAATTAAATCGGTCCTGTTTCATACAGGTTAATTGTAAGAGAATACAAACTTTGTGGCCATGATTGATAAGGCGAGATGTTTTTTATTCCTTGTTTCGCATACTTATTTTTTTTAAAGATCATCGTCATTTAGCAAATAAGACATCCATCCGCAGGAGAAAATAAAAATAAAATTTTATTAGTGAATGTAAAATAGGATGGTTAAATGCTTCAAATTTACATAATTAGGAAGAAATAGACATATCTTGTCTTTGGAGATTTCAAGGCAGCGGAGGGCGTAATAAAAATAAAGAAAATCTTGTATTTTTTTAAAATTCTTTTTTTTGTGGCGGCGGGTGCGCTAATTGGCCAAAAATAACATTTTATTTTGATTCGCCGAAATCATCAATATTTGCAGTCGGTGGGTTCACTGAAAGAGGTATAAAAGAAGATTCGCCTAAAGGTGTGATTCAATTCTATAAAATCAAGGAGTTTCCTGGCTTCCCCTTCCACTGAAAAACCCCTTTGAGGGGTTCTAGTTTCTTCGGGCCCGGTCACTTATGCCCCCTAATTGGATTTTTGACCTTCATATATATGGGAGTTGATCTTGGGAAAATCCTGCCTACAAAGCCTACTTCTTTGTGTAAATTTTTTTTAGGGAGGATTTTTTTTTACTACTCTACAAACAAAAAGGAGAAAGTATAGGAATGCACTGTTAAAAACACAAGACTCAAGAGTCAACTGCTGATTTGATGGTGTTCATTGATCCAAAAGCTAGGAATCAGGATACTTCAAGAAAGAAGGCCAATATTTCACCTACTTCATTATTTCTGGAGCCTGGCCACTGTAATACACCGTAAATGCTGCAGCTACTAAGACAACAATGATTTGTGCACATGAAAACCCCATGATACCTTAATATTTATACCTCGATAACACACACCACCGACCTTGTTCTAGGCGTACCCTTTAATAACCACTAACTTGGGTAGTCGAGGCGCGAGCCTACTCAGATCATGCATGCTCAGGTCTAGGCTAGGTTAAGTTCGGTCTGGTGGTTCGGTAAGTCTGTCGCAGGGGGCGGTTGTCATATCTCATCAAATTGACAAAATGGCAGCCTTTCCGAGTGTCACACAGGTAGGTATTGTTTATTCAATAGCCTTTCTTTTGGACAAGATTCATTATATAGACTTTTTGAATACAGTACTATGTTATCCAATTTTAAACATAATCTTACGTGTTCTTAGGATATAAGTAAAGATAGAATAAAGGATAAATTTAGGCTCAACATGAATGGAGTGCAGCTGTAGCCTGGCCTGGAGTAAACAACGCCCACAACCTGTCTCCAATCCGAACCTTCGTACTGAAGACGAGTGGTTAGGGCCTAGGTGCTAGCCTGCACTTTATTTTTAGTTTTAAATTGTTCAAATTTACATGCATGAATTATTTAAGCCAAGGCGATTGGTTAAAGCTATGCGTATTCATAACATTTTTTTTGTATTTTTTTAAAGTTTGTGTAGGCCTAGAGCCTAAAAATATAATATAAAAAAGTTACTTTTTTCCAGTTGAAACCAGAAGCTGATGTTTTTGTTATGTTTGTGTATGTGTAGTGTGCGTAGGCTTTATGGTGCATTCACACATTGTGTATGTGTAGTGTGTGTAGGCTTTATGGTGCATTCACACATGCAGCTTCCATACTGTAAAGTTTTTAAATTGTGCAGATGATACCTCAAAAACTAGCTCAAACTTGCACAGAAAATCGCTATGAAAATAGGTGTGCATACAGTAGTCGTAATTAATACATTAAATACATTGTTTTATATTAAGATGTCAAAGCCTAATTTGCGGCAAAATGATGTACTAAGAAAGCTTGTTTACAGATCTCACTGATATGGCTTCTTCCAGCTTGTGACCCCTGCTAAAATAGAGCTGGTTATGTTTCTCAAAGATTTGATAATTTAATTGAAATCATATTTTTGAAATTTACAATCATCTACTAGCCACAATTTTGCAATTAATACCTAAGGAACATCTTTTGTTAGAAAATACTTACACCAATGCAGTTAAATCTGGACGTACTTCACAAAAGAATTTCGGCAATACAGTAGTTGCAAAACTGTGCTATGCATTTGATCTTTTTACAAAGTACAACAACTACCTTTGTGTTAATAATCCTTGAGTAATTTAAAGCCAAGATCCGGAGGGAAAAAATATTTTATGTTGTACAGCCAGTTTTTCTAAGACACAAAAATGGCGTTTGATGGAAAACAGTCTGTAATGAGGTACAGATCGTAACGAATCACAACAAATTTCACAGGCACTGATTGGCTAAGGTCAGTCAACATAGGCCTAGTAGTACTGTACCATTTGACCTCCCGTTCCAATATAAAGTGTGTTCTAAATGCACTCGTTGATTGCGATCTAGAGTAATCAGTTTTTGGATTACCACTGATTACATCGCAACCGATTACGACGGAGTGTAGTCTGATTAGGGTATAATATCCAGTTACTAATTAGAGAACGTTGCATTAGAAAGAATAAACTCCTAGCCATTACTCAGGATTCCTAATCATTGCCTAAATGTTTAGGTTGAGGGAAATTTTGTTGAATTGACATGGAATGACTATATTATTTCATAATATTAGAAGAGGCTAAGCTTTGTGTTTTTATATTTTAACATTTACGAACTTAAAACAAGGAAATAGAACTTGGCCATTTTGTTGGATGCAATTCTTACATTGTCTGTAGTAGTAGACCATTATTGATTGAAAAGGAAGTTATTAACTTTTAATTAACATTCAGCTTTTTGTTTCATAAAGCAATTTTAGGAAATGTTTATTATTAAATAAATAAAGTAGAGGTTATGATGACAAATGTGTACTGTATTAAATATCTCAAAATGTTATTCATGCCTGCAAAAACTTTGTTTCACTCTGTGGTGGATGTTGCCTATAGTAGGCCCAATGTCCAAGGGCTTTAGAATGAGATAGGACTTACTGTCTCACATACTGTAGACAACCTACAGTAGAATTTTTGCTCTGTTAACATTTGATGGGTGCAATGAACCCTAGATTTCTGTCCAGAACAAATTCCTATTGTTTAAAAAGAAGTTATTTTGAACGACTCACCCTGATGTAAAGAAATGCGCTGCTTGGTAGCATTATTTTGGCCATGATAATAATAATAATAATAATAATAATAATAATAATAATAATAGTGTAGTTTTATATAGCGCACATATTCATCAAATGTAAGATGCTCAGGGCGCTTGATATGTGGACTTGGAATTCGATCAATGACTTTCTTCTCCTCTAAGGGTCCCTTTGTGTCTGTGCTACCCGGTACCAGCAACTCTCGTCGTCCACCACAGGAGCTGTCTTTGTCCAGTACACCGGGGTATTCCCCTGCTCGTCTTGAAAGATGTACTGGGTGCTTTATAGTTCACACGAGCCATTGTATACACTGAGCCTACGGTTTATAGTCCTTATCCGAGAAGACTTGTTCTACCGCCAGAACCATAGGCGAGTGTGCCGTTCAAACCAGCGCCGATATTATGGCTATAGCTTGCGACGCCCCTGCTAACCGCTCGGCCATTCAACCCGCCTTCCTATTTGTCTATTTGTATTAAATACTTGAATTTTTATTGAATTTGCATTTCCTCCATCTCTTACCTTAGGTTGCTGGCAGCAACATATCCGGCTATGAAGCACTCTATCGACAGGTAAGGGATTCAAGAAGTGTAGGGACATTACAGAGGTGCCTCTAGGATTTTGAAAAACAGAGGCACAATAGCCATTTTAGAAGCGTTCATTTATTCAGTCAAATATTTGTTAATTATTTATCAAATCACACAAGTATCATGTGAAGTGCTTAGAGGCTTTTTTTTTACATGAAGCACTTAGTATAACATAATGTTACAGCATTATTAATAAAAACCATACAGGGCTTTGTAGAGACATTAATTATTTAATTCATAAATCACTACTAAGTATAATACAAATTAAAAGAAAAATGGAAAACAACAAAACCAAAAAGTATACTTATGTTGTCTAATAAATTTAATAATAATCCTGGTAAATCAAGTTATGAATAACAAATTTTTATATGTATTTGCTAACACTGACTTTTATAATCTTGTTGAATCTTTCAAACATAATACATATCTATGTATACAGGTATATGTCTATATCTTCTTAGAAAAGACAAATAAATGAATAAAATGTTTAAAATAGAGTCTGCTTCGTGAAAATTTCAAGTAAAAATGACTATTAAATAGAAAAAAATAAAACTTTTTAGTCTATTCAAACATTACCTTCTAAAGAAACAAACTTGACAATGTCATGTAGAACAATATGAAACAAACTGGAGTCATTGACATAAGCCAAGGCCTTTTGGAAGATAAGTGATAGGAAGTTAATGACACATTAACAATGCACTGCTGGTAATCTTAACTCAATTAGGAATGTGCCTGTCTTCAGCCATATTACACCCACTCATATTATATATCCTACTATTATATTTTTCACTTTATTCAAAGGAAGTACACTGGTCATTACCATTTACTACAGGATAGAATTTTGTGATGACCTGTAAACTAAATCACATGGGACTTAAAGGGTGGGTTTGTTTTTAGTACAACTTACAATACAAATTGGTAAGTCATGGCATAGGCTGAGGGGTGGGGGGATAAGCTCCATAGTAGCAAATTATTTCCACTAAATTTTCATTGGAATTCTTTCACCTGAAGAAGTGCACTGTGTGCACGAAAGCTTGTGTACTGTCATAAATAAACTAGTCATAAAAGTACTGAATATCCTGAGTTTTATTTTCTATTATATATTAGATTAGTACAGCTTATCTATTTTTCATTGGAATAGTTATTTAATTCTGTATTCTCAATTTTCTCACTCCAACCCCTCCTTCCCAGTCTGAAACCAGCCGACACCCCTGTATTTAACAGGATATAGACCCAGCACCCTGGGATTGCAAACAAGCATGTAAATCACCAAGGTATTGCTCTACTACTATAGAATCGTCCATGTTCACTATGTAATGTTGTATTTAAGTTCTAACTGATCATTGTGATGAATGGTGTTGTATTCTTTCTGTTCCAGTTATGGTATTAAATATTGGCAAACATAAATTTAGAGAAATAAGTGGAATTATCTTGTGAAGATTTCATTGTCTATATTATCTTTGTTAGGTTTTTTTATTCGGTTTCAATATACAATACAATACAATATAGATAAAATTACAAAAAAAAACAGAACAATAAAACATGAAACCAGGATAACCCATAAAGTCGAAAAATAAAACAAGTTATTTCCAATTGGGTCCAATACAAAAAACATGACATAATATAAATATAAAAACTATTTACGAAGCAATAAAATATATTAAATCATCAGTTCTTAAACTTGCATCTGTCCCTGATTGTTTTCAACTGCTTTCTCCTGCAGTATATTTTCTTCCTTACCACAGTATTTATGTATGAAGTAAATTAATCTTTTTTTTCTTTTTTTTTCATTTTAATTTGCAATATTTTGTAGTTTGACAAATTTGGTTCAGGTCACATTGGAGCAACTGATGCTGCTGTTTTTCTAAAGCGGTCTGGACTGAAGGAGTCTACATTGCACAAAATATGGGAGCTATCAGATCCTGGTGGCAGAGGCTACTTAGATAAACAAGTAAGTACTGGACTAAGAATAACAATGGACCCATTAATAATTAATAGGTCCATGGTACAGTATAATCAAATGTTTTGATTTAATTGGATTTCATTATAAGATGAACTTAACAATAACATGTATAAAATGAAAAATAGATTTCAGGATAAAAAACTATATAGTAGTGATAATTTAGTTGTCAAATAAGTATTCAGGAAACGTTGTAGATTATTAACTGAATTAATGCAAGGTCAACAGCGACTATATATTTTTGTGCCAGCTCAAATAATGTTTTTTTCTTTGGTGCTTAGTTATTACATTTTGCTATGTTGCCAATTTTGCTGATGCTTAGGATAGTTGAATATTAATATAACTTAGTTTTATTATCTGAAATAAAATGTACCTTCATCAGCTAATAATAAATATATATACAAATATCTACCATCCATACATCCAAAAAATTATAATTTTGAACCGAGAATATCATGTGCTATGTTCTCTTGTGAATTACAATCAACTTTGAGACCACAAATGAAATAGTTTGCCTTTCATTACTTTTATTGTGCTTTTATGCTTAAATACTATTTTCGTATTCACAATAAAGAAATGAAATTTTAATTTCTAGGTTATGTTTTCTGTTTTTGGACAATGAAGAATGAATTAGTTGAACTTTTGTTTTCAGGCTATTTTTGTGGCTTTGAAACTAATTGCTCTTGCTCAAAATGGCAAAGATGTCTCAATGGCAAGTATCACTACTCCAGTACCACTACCCTCTATGGTAAGTTCCTACAAACTATTTTTATTCCATTTGATATTTGACATATTAAAGTTGGATTGATATTAGAAAATATTTAATTTAATGGTATTAGGCATTCGATTTAATTGTACGGTTATTGTAATGGTTTGGGGGCTTTTATAGTGCATACTACATGGTCTCTATGCACTGATGAAATAAATAAAATATAATTTTGATGATATAAAAAGCATGCTGTTTTGGGTCTGTCTGCACAACAAATATAGACTTCATTTCTTATTCTTATTTTCAAATGAAATTTGATAACTAATAAACAATCACTAATCTTTACTACATGCTTAAGTTTTTCATAGACAGGCCTGAAAAAGAAATATTTTTGTGCATCCAGCCATGAAAATGATCTTAATCAAATGACTCCAGGACCAAATGTTATTTTTACACTATTATAACCAAACAGTAGTACATTTAGTAGTTTGGAGCAAGCAAAAATATTAAATTAAATTATGCATTAAATGGTGATTTAAAAAAAAAAAATTTTTCTTTCTAAAATTCCTCCGATGTAATAGTCATTGCCTCCGACCGCTGATCACACACTTTTTCCAGCCCTGTTCATAGATTTGGTCTTAAATTAGTAAACTACAAGATAATTTGTTACTGTAAATCCTGAATCGTTATTTATATTTTTAGGCTAATTACCCAGCCCAGGCCCCAAGAACATCAACCCCTCCTGCTTCAAGCTCACCGGAACCATGGGCAATTAAGGTAAACTTTGTTTGTGAGCCTTAACATACAATGTTTGGCCAGACAATGTCTATACATATCGGCTAACATACGATCATTTCCATCCATTTTCGTGCAGCAGGACATCAGCATTGCTATAGCTTCTTTTCTCCTTTCTTTTTTTTTCTTTTTTTTTTAATTGGTTCTCATTGGTGTACAGTACTTGCAAAATATGTTAATTATGTTTAATATGTTCTATTGAAGTAGATAACATATGGGGGTTTGCCATAATACCAAAACATGACAATTGATATTTTAATATATTCTTATTCTCCACATTATAAGCTTTTAAAATGATAGGTCATTTACTGGGATCAACTTACTATTGCAAAAGTTATGAGTAAAAGTATTCTATTACAGCTTCTCTGTACTAAAGTATGCAATACTGGCACATTCTTATGTTAATTACTCAGTATAACATTTAGTGACAGTATGTTGGTTTTGTGGTGGCATGTCTCATACATTGTTCATATTGTCAAATTTATTCTGTTGAAGTAGATCATTGTCTGATTTTCAACAGATATGGAGTGGTGTCTGAACAAACATATAATATTCAGCCTTGTCCAGACTATCAAATTTTATTTGAGAAAAACATGTGACATGCCTAAATATGGTCATGATGACATCACTTCATCACCATATATAGGCACACCATGACTATATATGGGCATACAACAGTTTTTTTGCCAAAGAAAATTTGATAGTGTGGACAGCTTTAAGTCCTATCCACACTATCAAATTTTATTTGACAAAAACATGACATGCCTAAATATGGTCGTGATGACATCACATGATCACTCTGTATAGGCACACAACAGTTTTTGACAGTGTTGACAGAGCTTTAGGTAAAATCTAATCAAACATTGCCACTTTTGAGTCTGACAGACAGAATCCTGACAGTAGTGATCTTTCGATTGCACGACGACCACGACGACGGTAGGAGGTAGAAAGTATTGACGTCACTAAAAGTCATCTGCGCATATGAGAATGTTAAGTTGTCCTCGTCGTGTGAATTCTAGGGTGCAATTTTTCGAAATCAAGTATGCAGAGAATGTAGGATGCCCTGTAGAGCGGTCACGCATGAGTGATTCCCTTCGCGTCATGGGAACATTGTGGAATTGCCTGCAGTTTGACACTTCTGTATTTTTTGTTGTTTGTTTGAAATTTCTAGAACCCAGAAATTTCGGGAGGGGGGGGGGGGGGGTTCCCGGGTTTGAAATTTCTAGAACCCAGAAATTTCGGGGGGGGGGGGGGGGCATGTCCCGGACCCCCGTAGTGTATTGTTATACCAATGGCCTCACTTTCAGCCCCTTTCTGCCCCCTCTTTTGAACATCTCTGGATCCGCCCCTGACAACATTGTGCCCCTGCCTACTCTTTCACAGAAAAAGTAGATCACACTAATGTTAGGTATGTCTTTATCTCAGTGGAAATAGGTCTGTCTGCCATATACCAAGGATTGACTAAAATGTGTAATGTTTATAAGGCCTACCAAAAGCAAACATAGCCAGCGGTGGTGCCAGAAATTTGCTGACAAGGGGTCCAGTGTGTCTGACTGAGGGGTCCGATCCAAGGCGACGACGAAGCCTCGGTCGATGGTACTGAATAAAAAATGAGTGTTAGGGTTCATAGGGAGAGTTTTTATGGCTTAATTTGGTCTTAATTGTGCTTTAGACCACAATATTAGGGATTTGCAATCAAAGTAGCGTTAATTGGATAGGCAATTATTTTTTAATTATTTTTGTTCTGACGACCTAGTCATTCTTCAGAAAACAGGGGGTCCAGGCCTGTCCAACGGGTGGGCAAATGCGCCCCCCCCCCACTCACTGGCGCCACCACTGAACATAGCACCTAATTAATTTTTTAACAATTCAAGTGATAGTAGTTAGTACAACTTATCTAGAGTGTGGTAAATCATTTTTTATTAATGTTTCTAGCTGAATTTTGCAAAAATTTGTAATTTTAATGTACCAGCAGTATGTTATTCGAAACTCTAGGGTACTATTAACGTGTAGGCATAGGAGGCCCATTTCCATAGCATATTATATCCTGTGTATTATTTAATTGTATATTGTTAATATTTCACAGCTGAGTAACCTGCACATCGTGTAAATATAGTTATAGTATGTTATAGTAATTGTTGTCCATTGCATTATTTATGTATTCGTGATTCTTGCACTTTATATTCATGGAAGTTTTAAGCAACTTAATTCATCTAGTTATGACGATGATAAGAAATTAAATATTTAACAATTAATTATTTTCTACAGGATTGCCAGCTGCTATTTCTGGGCATCCGGAGGTGCCATATTTCCAAAATAGACTCTATTCCCGTGCTAACCTTATATTTGGCTGTCCCCTTGAGGGAGAGGTATAGCGGCTCTAGATTGCCAGCATCTATTTACGGGCAGTCAGAGGTGCCAAAAAGTTGTTCACCAACCAATTTGGGGCTAAACTGGATGCTGTCAGACCTCAGTAACTTTAACATCTTGTGTCTGTGGATAGGTGTAGCGCATCTCCACTATTCAGTTACTACCAGATTTGCTAAGTGCCACCCCAATTCCGAGTCCCCACTCTCAATATAATGGCCGGAACATTTGCAAAATGCTTCCGACGGCTATGACTTAGTACATAGTTTTTTTTAGCGTGGTGCAATCTTTGCTTATTTTGCCTAAGTGCGACGGTCATTTGTTTTTTCGTCCAAGCGTGGTGGTCCCGCCACGCTTGAGTATAGCTGGCGAGACCCCTATGTAATAATTAAAAATGATATACTAATTATATATACTGTTTATATAGCACATATTGCGATAAATTTGATTAAAATCCTATGGAATACTTATATCCCCAGGTCCCTGGGAAGCACCATTTTATAAGCAGATATCAGCGGATGGTATTTGGATCTAAACTAAGTACTAATTTTTTGTATTTGTTATTTTTGACTTGTCAGCCCGATGAGAAGGTAAATTATGACCACACTTTTCAAAGTCTTGGACCAATAGATGGCAAGTTATCAGGAGACATGGTGAAACCTGTTTTAATGAACTCAAAACTTCCTTTAGAGACACTTAGTAAGGTAATTCTGTTTTAATATGAACTTTACTGTACATTTACATTTTTAATTAAAAATAATGGTGTATTCAATATTCCAACTCTCAATTTTCGCCAAATTAACTCAAGAAAACATTTTAACACAATATCATTTATTATTATTATTACTATTACTATTATTTCTTATGAACTTGATTAGTTTTCTCTATGTTAAGTATATATATTTTTATATTTACTATTGTAAAGGGGGTTTAAACTTGACAAGAGAAATCTTTTATTTTAACCTCCTATTGCCATGTGTACTTGTAACTCTTTTTGTATATGCTTTTGGAATTTGGCAATAAAATTAAAATGAATGAATAAGTTGGTCCTCATGTAGAGTGCAGATTGGATGAATGGGGTAAGCTTCATTCAGATTGGTGATTCAAAGGTTTATTTTAAATATTGTAACTACTTTTTTTTACTTCTCAAAATAGATATGGGATCTTAGTGATATTGATAAAGATGGGTTGTTAGACAAAGAAGAATTTGCTGTCGTAAGTAAAAATGTATGAGATGGCATCTTAGTTAATGTAGCTAAACTTATCAGTGAGTCTGGTTTACTGCACTTCTTCCCCCCACCCCCCCTTATCCAAAGGTCTCCTTTTCTTGGTAAGATGTTTTGCGATTCCTCGGAAAAAAAATCTTTGAGACCCACAGTTTGTTAACCAGGTGTAATGTACATAGTCTATTAAAATACTGTCTCTTATACACATCTAGATGTGTATAAGAGACAGACATATATGTATGTGTATATATGTATGTGTATATACATATATGTGTGTGTATGTATGTATGTGTATGTGTGTGTATGTATGTATGTATATGTATGTATGTATATACATGTATGTATGTATATACATATATGTATGTATATACATATATACGTATATGTATGTATGTGTATGTATATGTATGTATATGTATATGTATATGTATATGTATGTATATGTATATGTATGTATATATACTTCTAAAAGTCGTGTATCATGCATAGGAACGTTGACGCCTGCAAGGCTCTGGTTTTAGCGTGGTGCAATCTTTGCTTATTTTGCCTAAGTGTGGCGGTCAGTTTGTTTTTTTCGTCCAAGCGTGGCGGTCCCGCCACGCTTGTATATAGCTGGCGAGACCCCTGTGTAATAATTAAAAATGATATACTATTATATATACTGTTTATATAGCACATTTTGCAATAAATTTGATTAAAATCCTATGGAATACTTATATCCCCAGGTCACTGGGAAGCACCATTTTATAAGCAGATATCAGCGGATGGTATTTGGATCTAAACTAAGTAATAATTTTTTGTATTTGTTATTTTTGACTTGTCAGCCCGATGAGAAGGTAAATTATGACCACACTTTTCAAAGTCTTGGACCAATAGATGGCAAGTTATCAGGAGACATGGTGAAACCTGTTTTAATGAACTCAAAACTTCCTTTAGAGACACTTAGTAAGGTAATTCTGTTTTAATATGAACTTTACTGTACATTTACATTTTTAATTAAAAATAATGGTGTATTCAATATTCCAATTGAAAGCTCATTGCTGATAGGATATATGAGATCAGGTGACATTCATACCTATTGTTGATTGGATTTATGATAAGATAATATATATGTATGATATTTAATTAAGCTATATCTACGTCACATGCCACATTAGGGGAATTTAGAATAGGTTATGAAGGTGCTATACTTTGGAATCAACTCTCTCTCTCAATTTTCGCCAAATTAACTCAAGAAAACATTTTAACACAATATCATTTATTATTATTATTACTATTACTATTATTTCTTATGAACTTGATTAGTTTTCTCTATGTTAAGTATATATATATATATATTTACTATTGTAAAGGGGGTTTAAACTTGACAAGAGAAATCTTTTATTTTAACCTCCTATTGCCATGTGTACTTGTAACTCTTTTTGTATATGCTTTTGGAATTTGGCAATAAAATTAAAATGAATGAATAAGTTGGTCCTCATGTAGAGTGCAGATTGGATGAATGGGGTAAGCTTCATTCAGATTGGTGATTCAAAGGTTTATTTTAAATATTGTAACTACTTTTTTTTACTTCTCAAAATAGATATGGGATCTTAGTGATATTGATAAAGATGGGTTGTTAGACAAAGAAGAATTTGCTGTCGTAAGTAAAAATGTATGAGATGGCATCTTAGTTAATGTAGCTAAACTTATCAGTGAGTCTGGTTTACTGCACTTCTTCCCCCCACCCCCCCTTATCCAAAGGTCTCCTTTTCTTGGTAAGATGTTTTGCGATTCCTCGGAAAAAAAATCTTTGAGACCCACAGTTTGTTAACCAGGTGTAATGTACATAGTCTATTAAAATAAGCTTTAAGTTGTTGGCTACTAGTGCATCAAGGTGTTTGTGCATGTTTAATATCCTACCTACTCTACAATTTTAATTTGTCTTCAATTATCAATGCTGATATAAATACTTCTATTTATTTAAACAGGCAATGCATTTGGTGAGAAGGGCAATGGAGAATGAGCAACCACCAGCTGCCTTGACACCTAATCTGGTGCCACCATCAAGGAGGAAGAAACCTCTAATGGCTGGAGCTGTTCCAGTATTTCCTGCTCCCATTAACATCATGCTGAAGAAAACTAATCTATCTCCACAGTTATCACCTACTTCATCACCATCACTTCCAGTTAAACAAACAAATGTGAGTTAATATTGTGTTTATTATTTTTTATTTTAAAATTTCTTATAAATTGTTGATTTTTTTAAAATTATGTAATCTCAACCAAAATCCCCAACCACAATGAGATAAACAACAGCCAACTGACCGTGTTTTTCCCTAAGGCAGCCTATTAATCAATTTTTTTTCCCTGCTAATTAATTGTGTAGCCTCTCATCACACACACTCCAAGTTCATGGGTAGTAACAGCTCAAGACAAGACCAATTCGGATGCGGTGTTCAAACGGATTGATAGTGATGTTGATGGGTATGTGACAGGAGAGGAAGTTCGGGATACACTAATACAGTCAGGACTACCGCAGACTGTTTTAGCACAAATATGGTAAGTTCTAACCCTCAAGTGAAGATAATAATGTATGTTTATCATGCAGTGTTTAAGTTGTTACTTAATCTGGTGCTTGCTTTTGTTAGGGAACATGTGACCGCAAAGATTCCATCATTTGTTTATTTTCTTTGATTTGACTCCTGAACTGTAGGATATCTAAATACCAATCCACATCTAAATTCTAATAATAATCTTTTGGAATAATTTTAGGTAAAGTTCAAAAATGAATTGAATTGAATTAAAGTTGTACCTGTCTATATTTTTCATTAGCGTTTGGGCAAGACAGTGCAATAATGTGCACAACAAATCTGTTTACATTTCTAGAATGAATTTCTACCCATTTATACTCCATTTTATATTTCATTTTTAGATTGTTCAGTAATTATTCTTTACCTAAAGATACTGTGTTGACCATTAACTAACAAGTGCATATGTTTTCAACTGTAGGAAAAAATAAATAAAAGTGAAAACAAAATTTTCTTGCAGGAATCTTTGTGATATCAAACAAACAGGAAAGTTAAACTCTGAACAGTTTGCATTAGCCATGTATTTAGTACAAGAGTCTAAACAGGGCAAACCTGTTCCAGAGCACCTTACTTCTGAGATGATGCCGCCATCGTCAAGACCAAAACCGGGATCGGAGTCAGCTATGCTCACAGTAAGTCTACAATCAACTATCATTCCTGTAGCGCTACTAAAGTTAAATATCTGTTGCGGGAATCTCCTGGAAATTGGAACAGTCTCTTGCACTCCCACAAGCAGGCAATAATCTCCTGGAAAAATAACCCATCTTCTGCAAATTCATAATACATAATGCAATGACCATTCCCTATTATGTTTAATTTTTTGGCAATTTTGAAAATTGTATCGAATTTCTCAAATTTAACCTGTAGTGTAATTTGTTGTAATTTAATATCACAATGACCATTCCTTATTTTATTTAATTTTTTGGCAATCTTTGTAGTGTAATCAAACTTTATATCCTATTCGTTTGATAAGTAATTGTACATAATTAAATTATTAAATGTAAATAGATAATCCGTTTTTTGATTCCATCGAATTTATACTAGCATAATCTATTTTTGAATTAAACAATGTTTCTTAATTTTACTTTTTTAGATAAGTAATTGTATGTAATTAAATAATCAAATGCTCATATATATATTCTATTTTTGTAATCACTGAATTTTTATATTTTTGAATTGAATAATACCTTTTAAATTGCTTAAATAATAAGGTATTGTAAAATAATAATAAAATTAAATGTAATACTAATTGATGATGTTATTTACATATCTAAATCTTTGTCCTACCTTATTAATTATTTAGAATTCTCTTTCCAAACTAATTGTTTAATTTTTTCAGTTTGGTATTTGTTTACATTTTTGCTTATTTTAGGCCATGGCCTTCTTTTTGTTATATGTCATTGTTGCATTTATTATTGTTGTAACGGGACCCCTTCGGAAACAAGCAGAAATGCTTAAAGGGTTATCCTGAAATTCTCTTATTGTTGTTTAATTCGTTTAATTTTGTACTCTGTTTAGTTGTGAGAATTTCAGAATAAATCAAATCAAATCAAATTAAATCATACTTGCATGTTTTTACTATTTCTATCAATTGCCTTACGGAAAACAGTGCTAATGGGTATCACTATGCGCAGAAAAATCAAGTTAAATGTGTTAAGAAGCTCATTTAGCCAATCAACGCGTTGGGATTTGCATAATTCGGCGTAGGCATACAGATCTTATGGAAGTCACTTCTCCCATCTTGGGACCCCTGAAACATTGATGAATAAATATGTAAATTTTTTTTTTATTATTTTATTTACAAATCCAGTATATAAATTTAGCCTTTTTACCATTAAATGTGTTTTCATTTATTTATTTGATTTTTATGAATATACTTATTTATCATATTGTTTATTATTTATATATATATAAAATTATTTAGGTAATTTTAAAAAATCATTTATTTACAGAATAGCAATGTTTCACCTCTTTTTGGCAGAGTTGTATATTTTAACTGACATTGACATTTGACTAATAAAAGCACCATTTGTCTTTGTAACCAAAATGTATGTTGGTAATACTCTCTTACTTTTAAACCTATATAGGATCTTGGATTATCAGGAGCTGTTGGAGTTGACTTCAATGCTATTAAAGAGTTAGACGATATCCAAAAAGAAATTGATGACTGCAACAAAGAAAAATTAAGTTTGAAGGCAGAAATCAAGGAACAAGAAGAACAAGTGAAAATGAAAACTCTGGAAATACAGGTCAGTTTATATATTTGTTTGTCAATCTATTTGTTTAGTAAACCTACGAAGAACAAAGTTAAAACCATAAGGTAAAGGTATAGTTAGTTCTGTATTAATTACTGGACATTGAAGAATGAACGGATAGATATATACGTTTGCATTAAAAGTGCATAAAGTGCCTATGTTCTTTAATTATCGATATACTCTCAACCACTATTGAGAGCATCTTAGCTATGTTTACTAATCAGGTGGCCGGCTGTCCTGAGGCAAAGCAATGTAACGGACAGTGACATTTTTGTCAATTTTGAGATAATATCATTTGGGAGTATATTAAACACTTCTGAATTACCTGCTAAAATTACAGGAGACAGCACCACCTATCTTTTTGAGCACAAAACTTAAAATCTAGTGATTTTCTGTGGTAAAACAACGCAAGTGCCAGATTCAAGGCAAAACAACATAAATACGATGAAGATACGCTGTTTTGCCTCAGAATGGAATTTTAAAAATATTTTGAGCTGATGGAGTTCGGCACAGCAAAATCAACATTTTGATGTTGTTTTCATATCAGTAATCTTATCAACGAGCTAGATTTTGCATATGATTGCCCCAGACATGATAAATTCGAAAATATGTCGACAATACTGTGCATGACATGTTTCCGAGGTAAAACAACGTATCTGTGAGTATCGTTAATAACTTTGCAATAAACCAATGGTTGTTATTAAAATTTTTCATATAATCATAGATATATAGGCATGCAAAATTTGAGAAGGGTACAACAATTTATTGCCAAGTTCCAAACATTCAAACTTTAACTCTATTTATCTCGAAAAGTGAAAATTTCAAGTTACATTGTTTTGCCACGGAATGGCCGTGGTAGCCACTTTACAGTGTGTATGCTTACCACAGACATCATTACATAACCTTCAGGGGTGGATCCAGAATTTTTCAACTGGGAGTGGGAGGTGGTTGTACAACAGTTTCAGAATAAATTTAAGTGAGTAGATTGCATTGAAATTTTAAAAAGTTTTGACAAAACCGGGATGGGGGAGGGGAGAACATGTTGCCCCTACTGGATCTGCCCCGACCTTGGTCCCCAGTACAATCCTACCCGCTGCTCTCCTTGTGTTCCATCTGGAATCGTAACTAATATATAACTTATGCAAAACCAATTCTTTTTAGTCATTGCAATCAGAACTTGATAGAACGTCAACACAAGTAAAACAACTTGAAGATCAAAAAGGAGAAGCACAGAAGAAGCTGGATGAGTTAGACCAACAGAAGGACAAATTAGAAGGATTATTAAAAGAAGTGAAGCAGCAATATGATGAAGCCAAAAAAAATCTTGAAGACTTAAAATTAGAAATAGCAACCCAAGAAAAATCAGTCAAGGTATGCAACATTTGTATTCAATGATAAACTGTCTGTTGTAAAATATTGAAAAATGCTATTTAAAATTTTATTCAATAGCAAGATCAGAGGTTCTATGCAAAGATTATCTAAAGGCTGTTATTTATATATCTGTTAATTAGAAGTGGGGGAGATAATTTCCACACAGCATAGCAGAGTGGAGTTGAATAGCTTGGTGGTTGCGATGCTCACTTTCCAATCTTAGGGTCCTGGGTTCAAATTATGTCATATTCCAGGATTTATTCTCAAAACAAAATAACTCCACTCCATAAGCCTTGTGTGGGTTTATGTAAAGAATCGAGTGTATATCTTTGTCATGTGAAGGGATTGCCACCTATCTAATCGGACAGTGATTAAATCACTATTGGTAATCCTTGGCCATGTACCTAAAGGAATAAAACAATATTTGATTATTAATGACTATTGATTAATAAATATTGATTATCTGTTTTTTATTGAATACTAAATATATTGACATGATTTGATGGTTGCAGAACCAAGAGGAAGAAGTGAACCGAGCTCGTATTGATTTGAGCAATTTAAGACAAGAGGAGAACCAATTAGAACAACAAATTGAACAGGGCAAAGGTCAAGTTGATATGTTGAATCAGACATTAAAGACAACAAATCAAGATATACAACAGGTTAGTTGCTTAATTTCATTTTGTAGCTTCAAATAAGTTGTCAGGTCAAAGTGGCAAAATATGAAATTGTTTTACTTAAGTATTATACACTAAAAAAGTCTAGAATAGTTAATTTTGTAGCTTAAAATAAATTGTTAGTCCAAAATAGCAAAATATTAAATTGTTTTATTTAAGCATAAATATACACTAAAAAAAGTCTAGAATAGTTTATTAAATTCCATTAATCAAAACATAATAATTGTAAGTATAACTTTCTCATTTTTCAGGTCCAAACAAAAATAAATATATTAAAAGAAAGTCAAAATAAACTGAATAACAGCATCACCCAGATAAACAATGCCATCGATTCTGGAACCACCGCTGAAATACTAGCAGTACATGAACTTGATAAGATGGCACTGTCTCAAGATCTTGATGTAATGAGTGTTAGACCTCAGGTATTCATATTCATTATCTTTTTCTTGGTTATTTATCATATATCATATTTATTGCTGACTGGCCAGATTTCCTGACAGCAACACAATGTTACTGTTATGGCCTCTCTTGGCAGCACATGCAGTACAAAAATACATAATACTTTTGAGATATTGAAATATATAAATATATACATTTGCAATCTTGTCGCCTTTGATCTACACAAAATTCTTACTATTCTTACTGACATTTGACACAAAAACATATGGCCAATAACTTCTGCATTTGCTGCCACTTATCTTTGAAATTAACTATCTTCTTCCATTAAAAGTCATCATTAATTCCATCCAACTTTAAAATCTACCCTTGAAACTCATAAATCTCTTTGACAACTAGTCTTAACATACATTGCATTCTGTTAGTCTGCCATATACTACCATTAACGTTTATTTTTCTTGGGTTACCTATTGCTGATGACTTCTTGTTATGTCAAGATGTATGTTTGTTTACAGCCTGGAGGAAGTCCAGGAAGCAGCATAACAAGTGGGTTCAGTATGAATTCAGAAGTAACAGGTAAAATGGAGGATTTTGGTGAGGTATGTACAGGTATTAATATTAGTGTCAGTTTAACGTGTTAGGATAAAGAAAAGAAAGTTGTTTAATAGACCGATTTGGCGATGCTTGTTTATAGCCCGGTCACGTGACTTAACTTGGGTATACACCACAGAAAACATACATCACGAGCAGTTAAAGGAAAAATTAATGTTATGGTTTCAAAAAGGATAAATGGCAAGGAAAGGCAAATACGCTAGTCCAAAATAGTGTTTATTTACTTATCCTAGCATTTTTTGCTTTGGAATTTCAGTGATCCTTCGTAATCCTTAGCTGGCCTTATAATCGTTGTGTAGTTCGCGGGTTGAATACCTTTGTGCATACCTAAATAGGTCGTAGATGTGCAGGGGCCTAGGCCTATCATTTGTCAAAAAATCTCAATATTTGCAGCGTATATCTTTTAGAGTATTAGCAAACCATTATGGCAAAATTCTCAAGTTCAATTTCCAATCAATTTGGTATAGATTATTGGGAATTAAGGTGATCTTTACAGCAATAACACAGGGCCCATCACCGAATCGGTCTATTGCGTATGTAATTGGGTATGCACCGCAAACCATATGCATGCAAATTGCTACCTAAGTGGAGCAGAATGGAAACAAGTTTGCCTTTTTGGTACTTTATTGTGTTTTTATCCATGAATATTATTTTTGTATTCTGAAAAAATAAAGTCTTTAACAATGAAGTTTGCTCTTAAATGGCAGAAGAAGATACATTATACAGAAAATATAGACAAATTTAAGGAATAATTACTAATTTTGAATGTGAAATTGCTACTCAACCAAAGAGAAACACAGTTTGAACTTGTGTGTATACATTCTTATCTATGATTTTACATACATCCTACAAAAAACATAGTTTTTATATTTCATTTTTTTTCATTTACAAAATTTCTTTACTGATTCCAGGATGATCCGTTTAAAAATAAAGATCTTTTTAGTGGTCGCTATGGTGGGTCAGTCACACCAGATCCTTTCAAAACAACAGATCCTTTTAAAGAAGGTAAATTTTTAAATTATATCTACCAAACATACGTTACAAGCATATTAAATACTGCAATAGAATTCTCATTGCCAATTAGATAAATGAAATTAGATCTTCACACAGAATCCTAATTAGAAAGCAAGATCAGGTCAGGGTTCAGAAAGCAGCGACGTAACAAAGGGACTGGAAACACTATTGAAACATTTAGTATTTGTATTCTATTTTTTTCTTATTTCAATACATGGCATTGTATGTAATGAAAGTTTTAAAAATGTAGTGAAAAAATAGTTGGGGAGTGGGTTCATAAAGCGCTTTATAAGACTAACACACTGTATTCTATTATTGTTGTTACTAATAATTAGTCTTGTAATATATTCATGAATTATATTTTTTCACTTTTCAGATCCATTTAAAGGTGATTCATTTCCAGCAGATCCATTTGCTGGTGATCCATTTGGATCAAGTTCAGATCCTTTTGGTTCTCAGTCATCAACTGTCCAGAGTGACCCTTTTCAATCAGATCCATTCTCTTCGACGTCATCATCTCTTGTTAATGGCCAGTCTGAGAGTCAGTATCTATTAAATTTATTACTGTATCATCTTTCAATAGATTAAATATTTTGTAGTCAATCGAAATCTTGAATACTATATTCTAAATTAATGTACAATGTTCTGTAAATTTGATTATAACTCTTATAATTTATATCAACATGTTTTATGTCAGGTTGTGTCATTTATACCTATTTATCTTCTTTCACCAGGTAAATCTTCTAGTAATGTATTTGGTGCCTTAGATGCATTTGGGGGAAGCACCTTTTCTGCAGATTTCTCAAATCAAGTAAGTCAATAATTTCCATTTTCCATTTTCTTTGTTATTTATTTAAGTGATCAGACTAAAGCCCCTCTCCCACCTAGGTTTATTTCACCTAAGAGTCGTACGATTTTTACAAGTTAAAACTTGTGATCTTTGGAAAGGACCTATACGAGCTTATTACGTGTTAGCTACGAGTGAGGCACGACTTTATGGAGTTGGCTACAAGATTATTACGAGCGTAACAAGTTTGTACGAATTAGATACGAGTTAGGTATGAGCCAACTCAGTGCGCTCGTACTTACTCGTACTCATTTGTGGGTGCTCGCATCAAACTCTTAGATGACAAAACCGCTGAGTATCCAGATTAGTGTCCTAGCTAGGTAGGAGTACCCTGAGTACTCTACGAGCTACCTACGAGTTCTTCGAGTTTACTACGAGTTATCTACTCATGGCGATAATTTTGAACATGTTCAAAATTAGCACCACGAGTTCAGAGCTGCTACGAGTAGGTAAGAGTCCTCTCCGAGCTTTCCGAATCGTCCTACGAGTTTTTGCCGAGTTAGCAACTTGGCATTCTCTTGTAACTCGTATGGTGAAAAAACCCCTAGTGGGAGAGGGGCTTAATTCAACCAATCATAATGAAAAGAAAAAAGTAGAAACAAAATCAAGTATCTAATGCAACTATTTCACACCATACAACCACAACCCAATGGTACCAACTACACCCAATATGCGATACCATGGTACCAATACCACAACCAATACATACCAAATAATACCAACCATGACCATTATTATACTGTAGTACAAAACTACAACCAATACAGTAACATCTCCCAATTACGAACATCCCATTTACAAACTCTCAACGAACCAAATTTGCGGAGATGACATCATTACGAACGATGGTTTTTAACTACAAAAACACTTTAAAATGTATTTATAAGTCTTCCGAAATATTTTAAATTGTTACATTACCTAAAGAGAGAAAATGTTCAAACCAATTAATGGAGATAAAACTAAGCTTACAGCAAGAAATATCAATTGTTTTCAGCCAAGATATTATATTTGAGCTGTGCATGCTTGTTCAGGCATACTGTAGAGTAAATCTCACTTTTTGATAATTGTTGGCACTATTTACATGGATTCGCGATCTTTATGAAAAGAATAATAACACTCGTTTTGGGCATTTATAGTTGTTTTTATTCTGAAATCACTTCAAATGAATATTTCACAGTGAGCACAGGTAATTTTGGCTTCTGTAAATTATTATTTTGTTGCAGAAAACAGTAAAATCCAAGTCATATTTCATGACAAATTTTTCTCCCATGGCAAGGCTGAGGCCTACCTAGCCCTGTACGTTGTAGCATGGTCAAGGCCTACCCTCACCACACTGAGATGCTGCAAATTTAAACTCTCTGAATTACAAATTTTCTCATTTACGAACCCTGTTTGGACAGAGTGGTAGTACGTAATTAGGAGATGTTACTGTAAAACCATAGTATCAACCACAGCCAATCAAGCTCTACAAACATTACCTTGGCACCACCATTGGCATGGTAAGCCTACCACAAATAATATTCATGTTGCTGTGTGAATTGATCTGGGAAATTAAATTATCTCATTTAAATTTTAACAAATTTATTCTCATCAATAATTTATCACTATTGGAGTTGTTTTTCATAATTAAATTTATCATCATTCATTGCGTATTAAGCAATATCTTAAGAAAAGCATAGGGACTAAGACCACTTGACCTCATAGCTCGGTTGGTAGAGCAACTGAAAGTAATTGAATGGTATTGGCTTGGAATCATGATGGGGACAATTTATTTTTCTCATAAATTATCATCATCTTCATTGTCATTGTTTTCAGAATTCTAAATCAGAATCATTTTCCAGCGATCCATTTAAAACCTCAGAAGAAAGACCTGCATTACCACCCAAGAAACAGCACTCCAAATCCAAAGCTCAAGCTTTTCAAGCATTCACCAGCGACTCAAATGACCCATTCACATCCAGTAGTATTTCAAAGGATCCTTTTGCATCAGTTGGATCAGATCCTTTCTCATCCCTCATATCATCTACTAGTAGTAGTGGTAATTCAAAGGATCCATTTTCATCTGGTAACAGTTCACAAGATCCATTCTCTTTGGGAACATCGTCATCTCAGGATCCATTCTCTTCATCATCAAATGATCCTTTTATTTCTTCAACTGGTTCTCTTCCAAAATCTGGTGATCCTTTTGGACCATCTGGTGCTCCAGTAGATAAATCAGGAGGTGATCCTTTTGCAGGATTTGCTGATTTTGGCAAGGTGAGTACTTTAGAGTACAGTAAAGAAAATTACCTGCAGGTACGTAATATCTTCATCCATACTCATGGATAAATATCCTGCATTGGAAACAAAAGTCCTAAAGGTTTCCTGTGTTTCTTTATTTGTTTAAACTATGTTTCCTCTTCCAGGACACTTTCAAGTAAAACTGGAGATAAATCATGGTATTTTGAAATTTAGATTTATCATCATTGTGAAATCTACTGTAGTAAAAGTCTTTCCATTAAACATTTGGAACTCATACTTCTCAAACAATTATTCTGATCAACAAGTTGCTTACATAAATAGCTTACATTTTTGTTCTCATTGTCATAACATTTGCATACAATTTGCTTATCATTATAGGTAACTACATTAAGTTTTCTCAGAGGTTGCCATGTTAATTAATTTTGGGCCTACATTCCTTTATTCATCTAGTCCCATAGAAATTAAACATCCAGTGCTGATCATTCTGTGAGTGGCTGTGATGAAATCATAGTCTTGATTTCTATCTATTCATATATGATTACCGTTTGCGGTAGGGTCAAGTTTTGGCAGCACCCAGCCAGGCTAACTTCAATTCAATTCAATTCAATTTCAATTCAATATAAAGTTACACTTGCATACACTGATGAAGTGCTTTGAAGTGGTCTACATTGTGTTTCATCCTTATGTGCAATTAGGACACAGTCCTTGGCTTTGATATGGTATTGGGCTGATAGCTCATGTCATTTAATACAGTTGTTCGACAACCAAGAATTATTCTTATCTTTGTCATGCTAACGTGATAGATAAAGAAAAAAAAATTGTATGCATGGCAATCATATGAAAAAAAGGAGTGGAGCTGTAGCTTCATAATAATAATATGTTAGATTTATATAGTGCATGCAACACAAACTCAAGCTCCCTGAGGGAGTATTCCATAAATCTACATCAGCGCATTTTGGCATTTAACCCAACCAGGTACCCATTTATACTCTTGGGTGGAGAGAAGCAATGCAGATAAAGTGAAATGCACAGCAAGGGGATTCAGACCCCGACCTCGAGGTTGGGAAACAAAACCATTCCCAATGCACCAAACCACTTCTTGATGCTTGCTTTCCAATCCCAGGGTCCTGGGTTGAAACTCAATCACTTTAGGATGTTTTCCTCAGGGCTAAACATTTTTAAGAAGAGCTACATTCCCATAGAGAGACTTGAAATCTTTCCATCAAGTAAGTGGCACATGTACTTGCTGTTGGATATGAAAGAAACATTAATCTGCCATATATATACAATTAAGTGCAATTAACATTAAATACCACAACTTTTAGTATGTTAACACGAGAAACCATAATAGCTCAGATGTTATCATTTAATGTTCTTTAACTTCAGTTGTTTTTGTTGCATCATTGAACTCTAACATCCATTGCAGGAAAGCAGCCTAGCTTGAGCAAATTTCGTTTTTCCAGAAATATATCTTCTTTTGAGTACTTCAATAAATAAAAACACTGCAGGTTCTATGTGTTTTTAGTTTTGCTATTTTGTTTTCAAAGGAAAGCCTAGGCCTGAATAACAACAAGGTCGTGCACCAGTTATCAAGCACAGATAAACACTGGTAACTAAGTAGAGCGAAATGCCTAGGCCTCTGGATGTCCCCTGTGGTAGTTGCCAGGTTCTGGGAAATTTTCATTTCAAATTTAGCAAAAATGTTGTTTAATTAAAGCAGTACTGATTTGATTAAACATTGAATAGCTTATTTAAAAAGATCAAAGGAACAATGAGAGACAGATCAGTCAGGTTTTTGCTGATTGAGAGATTTTTTTGCTATGAAAGTTAGTAAATTTGAAGTTATGCACAGTAAAATTTATGTTAGTTAAACAGAATAATGATGTGTAATTCTCATGTGCCTATATATGGTCATGATGTGCCTATATATGGTCATGATGTGCCTATATATGGTCATGATGTGCCTATATATGGTCATGATGTGCCTATATATGGTCATGATGTGCCTATATATGGTCATGATATGCCTATATATGGTCATGATGTGCCTATATATGGTCATGATGTGCCTATATATGGTCATGATATGCCTGTATATGGTCATGATGTTCCTATATATGGTCATAATGTGCCTATATATGGTGATGATGTGATGTCATCATGACCATATTTAGGCATGTCACATGTTTTTGTCAAATATAATTTGATAGTCTTGAAAGAGCTTTATTCTATCTATTATGACAATCCTACAGATGTTACAACTGAAATTTCTTATTTACAGTTTGATACAAATATGACTGAAGAAGAACAACTTGAGTGGGCCAAGAAAGAAAGTGAACAACTTGAAAAGGATAGACAATCATCTGCACTGAAAGAAGAGGAGGAATTAAAGATCGCCCTCGCTCTAAGTAAGACAGAAGTTGGATCATCAGAAGTCTAACATCAGAAAAAAGAATCAATGAATTGTGCTCCGCTTCCTCTTGACAATCCTAAAGTCTCACATGTTATTAGTATCTAGAACTACAATCCAATAGTGTGCTTATAAAAATTTAAGTGATTAAAATTAAAACATAAAAAAATGTCACTAATGCAAGGCACACAGAGCATAGATACTAAGTGCAGTGATGCGTAATGGTTTGTTTTAGATGTCCTTTGTTTTTGCTGGAAGAAAACAAAGCACTGATGGTTATGAAGAAAAGGATGGTGATGCATTTTTGTTTTAGATGAACCCAGGATATTGCAAATTCTTGGATAAACAAAACCTTTCTTTCTGCACCCATCTGTCTTGTGTCTTTTTTGCTGGTGAAAATTAGATAGGGTATTTGCTATTGTAATTAAAAAACAATTAATCTACAGTATTTGCTTAAAACAAAGCTTATGTGGCTAGTTCACTGTTTAAACACTCCATGTAAATTTTGGTCCAAGTTCTAAATCACTTGTTTAATTTTCTTATTGTAAAGTAATGTAGTTTAATTTTATAACTAAGTTCATGTAAGTAAAATACTGCATTATGTTGCAAGAGTCAATATTTGTAAATTGTCATTTGAAGGATTTAGAACCTTAGTACTGTATTAACATACTTTTCTTTCTCAGTATGAGGGAAAATTATTTAGGATTTCTAAAGTGGGTCATAAAACAATGATGAAACTGTTATACCAGACTTGATTGGATAATAAAAGAGACTGTTATGCCCAATATTGATTGGTTAATAAAACCATTATACATTTCATTTAATGATAAACATATTATGCACCTATTTGATTGGATGATAAAGGTGTTATATTCAATTTTCAATTGAATAAGTACACTATTGTGCTCCTTTTTGATTTGTTATAAGACAGTTATATTGATTAATAATTAGATAATTTTGCCATATATTTCCCACCGTATATTATAGTGTACCTGTTGTTAGGGTGACTATAGATTTGAATTCCCAACTTCATATAAGGTTAATAAGAATTATATAAAATTATGTTATAGGATTATTATCAAAAAACATGTTATATTTTCATTGCGGTTTTTTTGGGCTCAGTACGGACTCTAAACGTATGCATTTTCTTTTAGTTTTAAGGCGTATGCGGATTTTATAAGTCCGCAATGACGATATAACATGTTAAAATCAGAATCAGTGAGAAAAGTTACTTTTTTGGTTCCAGATATATTGTTTGTTAAACCAAAATTATTAGTGAAATTTAAAATAGTGTATATGGCACAAAACTGTAATTGTAATAGGCCAACAAAAATTAGGATTTTTTGTTTGCTGAAAGGTTTCAAATTAATTATGATTTCAAAAAGCAAGACAACAATTTTAAATATTGTTGTAGAAAACCAGCTTGATACTGCCAAGTAACCTGACATTTAAGTAAATTGAAACTTAAAGTGTCATGAACACTTGTATATTATTGTATCTGACTCTGCAATATAAAAAAAGCAGTGAATTTTAACTGTATTTACATTTTCTGGATAAGCAGGTGTAAATTTTTCATGAATAAGGACTAAAGAAACTTAAGAATGTTTTTGAGTAAGTGGCTTATTGTAATTGGCAAACATTTTTTATGGCTACAATTTATTGAGATGACCAGTGATTACTAGTAATAGTTTTTACCAGGTTTAACAGTATTTACTACAAGTATTGACTAGTGTCTACCAAGTATAAAAGTATATACTAGCAGTGTTTAAGCTGTCATTCGCCAAATAGCCAAATCCTAATAAAAACAGAATTTTGCTAAATATTTTCATTCAAAATTAGCCAAAAAGCTAATGGAATTGAAAATATTATTGCTTATATTCATTTGTTTTGCCTAATCAAGTTTCTGTTTGGCTAATTATTTTCATACCAAATTAGCCAAATTGCAAAATATTATTTTTGGCCAGCTTAAACCCTGTACTAGTGTTGACTAACAGTCTACTAGTGTTTACCAGGTATAATGTATTTGCTGGTGTTGACTAGTTATTACCAGATTTAATGGTATTTACTAGTGCTGGTTAGTGTATAACAATATTTACTAATGTTTACAAGTATCTACCAGGTTTAACAGTATTTACAAGAGTTGACTAGTGTTTACTGGGTTTACAATATCTACTAGTGTTTACAAGAGTGTCCAAAATGTTTAACAGTATTTACTATTTACTTTAACATACCAAACTTGTCATTAATTTTGCCTTTTTTGCTATTCTTAAAGTTTTTGAAAATACAGAATTGACAGCTTTTTAATGCCACGTATTCCAGTCACAAGATACAGTACAAGGAATCGTTTACTGTACAAAGGGGTTAGTTTTTTCTGGGTGCATAAATTTTGCAAAGTACTGTTTTTCAGATTTGTCTACAATACAGGTTGATGAAATACACTAGAAAGGAAATTCTCAATTAAGACATGTCTATTGCTTGATGGATAAACAAATTGAAATAGGCCTGAACATGAAATTTATACTACAATGTCTACTCAATACAACTCAAAGTGTTATAAAAAAAAATGCTTAAAATTAGGTCATACATGCAATAAGCTACAGGTATTTAACATTTTATTATTAGTATTATTATTGTTGTTTGTTTTTGTTATTACCGTATTTTCATTATACAAATTATTGCACTATTATAATTATTATTTGTTATTATTTTCATTATATACAATATTGCACTATTATTTTTATTATAAGAAATATTATTATTATTTTTATTATATTTACTATTTTAGTGAAGCCAAGCTAAGAAGCTGTAGGCAGTCTAAAAGGAATAAGAGATCAACCACATGATAAAAATTGGTGCATTATTGAATCCTCTGTATAATATGTTTATTTGTAAATTATTTTTACTGAATTCAATGTTTTTGTTTCGTTAAAAACTTCAGGGATTTCGGAAATTCATTCTTCACTGAGTATCTGCACTGTATTTAATGCATTTCTGAGGACAGGGAAATCAATCTTATTGTGATCATGTTGACAAACTTAACAGTAAATATATATTAAGATTTGTGATTGAAGCATGAACTAATACTGTAGCACCGTAACTGAAGCATGGGGCTAATGGTACCGTGACTAAAGGATGGAGCTAATGGCACTGCGACTGAAGAATGGATGTAATGGCACCGTGGCAGAAGCATGGAGCTAATGGTGGAGCATTGCTCTAATAGCACAGCGACAAGCATGCAGCTAATGGTTCTAAAACTGAAGCATGGCATTAATGGTACCGTGACTGAAGTATGGAGCCAATGGCACCATGACTAAAGCTTGGTGCTAATGGTACCGTGACTGAAGCATGGTGCTAATGGTACCATGACTAAAGCATGGTGCTAAATAGTACCGTGGCTAAAGCATGGCATTAATGGTACCACGACTGAAGCATGGTGCTAATAGTACTGTGATTGAAGAATGAGCTAATGGCACCATGACTGAAGTATGGACCTAGTATCACCGTAAAAGATGCATGGCACTAATACTGACCCTTAAATCAGATAGTACCGTGACTGAACCTAAGTTCTAACAGTACCATAGCCAACAGCACTGACTGAACCTTAGATCTCGTAGCACTGTGATCGATTACTTTTAAGCTCACGTCATGCTTGTAACTGACAGCTTTTTTACACACTGATTATTTATTTCAAAATGCTTCACTGAACCAAGACAAGTGGTGTCTGAACATTGTATATTGTTCCATTAAATGTATACAATTAAATGCATATGGAAGTCCTCACTTTTATTGTTTGGTAGAAACATTAGGTGTTGATGGTAAATTGAAAAACAACACACACAGTACTTGTAGTTCTGTAAGAGCATATGTATGGACAGTACTACACATGTAATGCCAAAGTGTTGATAATTCTGTTGTCCATCCACTTTTGTGGCAATGGCGGGAAAATTACACTTGCAGACTACAATTTTTATCCATTCATTTTTAATTTCCAAAAATTAAGGGGCTCAGGGCTGGCTCCCTTGCATACCCCACTGTATCCTGTAGGGTTAGTGGCTAGCCAGTTGCTTTAAATGAGAATAAAAAACCACCACCATGTCAATTGCTTCTACCTAATGCAAGACAACCTATGTATCAGTCCTGAAATTGCCAGCATTTCGCATCACTAAACACCCGCACATTGATTTTCATTTTAATTGGTTGGCTACACCAAGGATTTAATCTTCGGCTACACCACAACAGTAGGGTTCAATTTAAGGTACTGTACAAATTCATGGGGAACCAAGATGTCTTTCGATTTCCAGGGGTGAAATCGTCAGTGCATGCAATATTTATGAATCATTTTAATAAGAGTAATTGCGACCATTGTGAATGAAGCTTCCTTCCTTTGCAACTTAATAGATGGGAGTAAGATAAATACTAGTAAAGACGCATAAAACTGATGTTGCTGCTATTATTAAATCAATTTTATTAAACTATTTATAGAAAATTTTTGCCTGTTTCAAAAAACATTCTCGTCACTGAGATGAAGTGACCAAGAGACAAATCACATTCGTGTCTCAACCTGGACTAACTAATGAAGTTCAGTTAAGTTACTTAATAGCATACTACAAGTTACATATCCAGTAAGTCACAGTTTTACAATCTTCGTAAACAAAACTGATATTTATTGAAAACCCAATGAAACAAACTAATGAAGGCTCCAAAACATAATGATAAATAATATTGCGACATTTTTAGTTGAGGAATTGAATTACATTTGTAAATATTCGGAGAAGAAACATGATGTTTATCTTATTTATATGAAGAGGTGTACATTTTCTGTTCATTTTCATGTTTAATATTGTTTAATTTCCATGCATGTTTATAAATGGTTGTTTAAATGTTGAATAACTTAAATTCAAATATGGCCATTCAGTATTGGGGTGTAATATGACTTCATCATGCCCATATATGGGCACAGCACACAAATTTGTCAAAGTTTGATAATGTGGACAGAGATTTATGTGTAGTAATGATAGGAAAAGTATTATCTGCTAATTTGAAAGGAAAATATGTTTTTGTTCAAAATTGAGATACCTTACTTAACACGGTAGAACCCCTCCTTTATAACACCTCTATTAAATGAAAACTTATCCGGTATCCCTTTAAGAGAAAACGCTCATGGCTTCCTCCACAAGGAATAAAAGATAACGGATTAAAAGAAATAAACAGTAACCATGGTGAGTATAGCAGTATAGTGAGTTTGTATGTCAAAATGCAGAAAATAGCTGATATATTCACAGCAGTCAAGAACACATCTTTTAACACTACAGCTAACCCCTTTTCAGGGACATCTCTTATGAGGGACATTTGTATTGCTCCAAAGAATGTCGTACTTCTTACGTATCCAGTGAGGTGGTGGAGTATGCAACCTCCTTCGTAGGAAAAAAAGGTTTTTACACAATTGCTCTTTTTGTGCACCCTTAGTCCAACATTGTCAAATGATCATAAACTTTAATTATTAAACTTATAATCAGTAATGGTAATGGTAATGGTGGGATATTTGTAGTGCGCCTTCCACAATAAAATCGTCTCACGGCGCCGAAAAAAGGTAGGACCAAGAATTTAAAAGAAATTAAATAGTAGTAGAACTGTGATGAATTAAAATGTACATTTCAGGAGATTTTGGTCGAAAGAAATCAGAAGCAACATATGCCCCAATTTAATTTTTAAAAATAATAACACCAGAAAAAAAAGTACGCATAGACTAATAATTGCTGGCTGTACTTGCATCTAGTATTGGAGTATCAATGTCAGGGATAAGATCAAAGGGCTGTACGCATGCACTATGTCACTGTGCAGAGATAAGTGTCCTTTTGTTGCTGCTTTGACAAATCTGCCCAATGTAAATGTATACTGTAACCACCATCCATTTTCATTTAAATTCAAATTCAAGTATAGTACTGCAATTTCTATAGAAAAACAACCAACAAGTTACAATAGTCCACATGAAAACCAAATTCCTTCAACATTCATGAACTTGTAACTGCACTTCTGTCTTTATTTTTTAAATAATTTTCCTCTTCTTCCCTCATTTTCTCATAGTGTTTGTTTTGTATCTTATTTTTCATAGCTTCCAATTCTTTTCTCTGAAATGAAAAATATGATGCAATGCATTTTAACAGAGCAAATACAGTATTCATCAGGGAAATTTTTTCCCCAGACTCCCTAGCGTAGTCTTATCTCGATCAGCCCCACTTTCCGCCCCCTTACAGACATCTCTGGATCCACCCTTCATCATCTCTTCATTAAAGTATTAAATCATAATGGCTTGTCTGTACAATACTATAATCACAATTAAGCAAATAAAGCTCTGGATGAAGGATCCACCCTTCATCATCTCTTCATTAAAGTATTAAATCATAATGGCTTGTCTGTACAATACTATAATCACAATTAAGCAAATAAAGCTCTGGATGAATTCTATAGCAATAAAGAATTGAAATAAAATGATGGGTCTACATATAGAGGGTTAGGGGTCATCCATAATTATCAACATTTTCAAAAGAGTACAAAACATATGCTTTGGGGGGGGGGGGTAGAAAGTGTAGGCATAAGTACTCTTTCATGAAAAAGATAAAATGTTGATCTCAATAACATACAAATCAACATTTTTTTGCGTACTCTTTCAGAGGGAGGGGGGGGGTCACAGAAAAAAGTATGTTTTGTACTCTTTTGAAAATGTTGAAAATTATGGATGACCCCTTAGTTGGAGTAAAAATATATTAATTAGAAAAATAATTATGTTTGCAACTCACCTGCATTTTACATTCTGGAGGATACAATTGTCTCTGTTAAGAAAAGCAAATCAAATAACAAAAACAGATATCAAATTAAATTAAATATAGTACAGAGTTATTATTTTAAAAAAAACATGATTAATTATTCAATGTAGTTAAAAGAACATAACCAAATTTCATTTTTGGGTATAATACAAGAATACGTCTGTAAGATACAATTAAATTTGTTTTAATTGGCCTATCAACAATACAGTAGCCAATTTATTAGATGCCCATCCACCCATCATATATTTTTTTTTCATTGAGAATCTGCATTAATAATTTTTTGATAAACTACTGGTTGTAACTTGTACTCACTATTTTTCGACTGACTTTTTCTTCAAAATATTCCGTTTGATTAAAATAGTAAAAGGTTGCTACAGGAAAGAAAATGTAAATCACCATCTGTAGAGAAATATTCATGAGAACATAATTAATGTACTGTTTAGTTTATTGAAGCACTTTTGTACATGGAATAAACTGAATGATTGAGTCTGATTAATTAAATCACTGTTCAGAAAAAAAATCAGAAAAAAGGCTGTTCTGCCAAAAGTGGGAACAGCCATTTATTATATTTATGCTTTGCAGGAGAATCATAGCTGCATCACCATTTAACTTTATTTTTAGGATCATGATTATATATTTTTTTCCCTTTTAGTAGGCCTACCTATATGTTAATGGTTAATTAGCATAATTATTGTACATGATGAAATTAATTATTATATTAATAATAATACTCTGCTTTCTTAATTTAACTTAAACTGTAGTAGTGTCATCTTCTACCAACTGAATTTACTATCTTCTCGAGTGTCAGTACTACCACAGAAGGGTGCTAGGCGGCTTTGCTGAATGCCAATTCACCAACAGACTTTTTGCTGACAGACTTGTCTTTTGACTGACAAGACATTTAGCCTACAGGACGTTTCGCTGACAGCCAATTTGCAGCCAGTTCCACAACAGACAATTTGCCAACAGTTTGAAAATCATGACAAGATTTTAAAATAGTTTGCCTACTGACATTTGTCGATGGACAGAAAATTTGATTAACAGAACATAAAGTGAAGATCACAATGGCCGACATGTCATTTCTCCGACACAGCCCCATAACTATATTTATTATCAGTAGTAGTATTAAAAGTTTGAGAGGGGTCCAAGTACCAGAAGGGCCAAACCCACCTCAGTCCCACTGGTTAGAGTTCAATTGAAAGAAAAATGTAATACTTGAAAATAGTACTTGCACACCTTGTCTTAATTTGACACTAAGTTGGACACTCAATTTTATATCACATATATATTTTTTTTAAGCATAGTAGAGAATGGCAAATACCAGGAGAGTCTACACCCACCTCAACCTCACCATGGGGCTGAGGTGAAAAAAATATTAACGATTACATAGCAACTCTAAATGCCACAATAGTTAGGCCTGGGCTGAGATGACAAAAAATGAAGGAGTGAGCCAACTCTATTTTCTTTTCTTAGTTGCATCTGATAGAGTTAAATTATATATAAAGCTGATTGAAACCATACCTAAGTTACACCACGTAGTCTTCATATTGTACAATGACTGAAAGCAGTGAAATTTAAAACAATGCATTTCGCTGACATTTGATACCTCTGTTTACATCTGCTAACCGTATTTGCTGTTTTCAGTACTCATGTTATAATTCTCAATTAAAAATTATCCACCAAATTATTTTATCTATCATCACAGAAAAAGGATAATGTAATAGTACATAATGAGTGAAAACATTTTATTCTTTCAATACTGTAGGTCTAATTTGTGAATAAAACTGTAAAGGTTGGTTTTATATTGTTGTCATACCAACTAATAATAACTTTAAAAAGTGAGAAACAAACTTCAAAATTTTCACAAATGCGATGTTGTTGGCGAAAATCTAAATTTCCTGTCAGGAAAATACCCTTTTGTCGGTTTAATGAGTTGCTGTCTGCGAAAGGTGTATCTGTCAAAAGAATGTCTATACAGGTAATTCAGTCAAAAAGTGGCGTCTTTATAATTTTCAATAATTGTTAGCGAATTGGCTGTCAGCGAATCTGCTGTCGGCGAACTGGCTGTCAGCGAAACGGCTGTGGGCAAATTGAGTGTCGGCAAAATGTCCTGTCGGCCAAAAAAATGTTTCGGCGAAGTAAGACGATAGTGAAAGTCCATTCGGCAAATTGTCTGGCGGCAAAATGCCTTTGCGAATTCCTAATCGGCAAAAGATCCAGTCAGGCCAGGGAAGAACACGGTACAGCCATTCTACCCTAATAGAGTAGGGATGGATTCCTCTCTTAAGGCTAGCTTAAGTACCCTAGGCCTAGTAGTGTAGGTAGGACTAGCCTAGTAGTAGAAGATAGATGCCTAGTGCCTAACCTTCGCCCTGGCCAGTAGGACATCCATCATGTCATAGGCCCTAGGCTAGGCCTAGTAGTATAGTAGATAGGCCTATGCCTAATTATCCAGATAGTTTTAAATAATAGTTACTTATTCAATTATCATAAATATTTTCAGGTTTACCTTCGCTGATTCCAGTCTCCAGCCACCCATTTCTAGAGGACACCTTATCAACAGCATACAGCAGAACAAAAACTAACCACATAGGCCTAGTACCTGACCGTGAAGATAGTTGACGCGAATTGCTATTAAGTTGACGCGAGTTACAATAGCTGACGCAAATTGTCATGATATGACGTAAAATGATGCAATATTACATTCAGAAATATTTTCTCAAAGATGATTTTCCCATATAAAAAAGTTATTTATGATGGCGATGACGATCAAAACAAATACAAAGTAAAAGTAAAATAACACCAAAATGGCAAGTAGAATATCAGCAACAGTTCGTGCAGTTAGTAGAAAAAGATCAATTCCTAGAAAAGCTGCCATAGTCTTAGTAAGTATTTTACAGATTAGCTGTCTGAGTGTAAAAAAAATCAAGATCATCTTTCTTTGCCAGGTGCCTGGGTTGGTATCTTTTGTGGGTTGGGTCAGTATATATAGGGGCGGAGACCGAGGTTCCCTACTGTACGTAGCTTAACCAGAGAAGGAAGGCGGGCTAGGCGTAGCCTATTGGAAAAGAGTGACTATGCATACTCTGTTACATACAGGCATTGGCCATCAATTGTATTGACTTAATTATAATATCAATTATTAAATAAGGCCAGTTATCTATATTATATATATATACCATCCAGGTTGCCTCGTGTCTGGGACCAGCTGATCTCCCTTTATTTATTAGATCGTTAACCGATGCTACAGTTATAGAAATCCCATTCTCTTTTCTTCGTAAGGTTCATAATTATATTTTGATTCACTTAATGTTTTTCTTGTTTGATGTTTTTTGTGTGTTGGGTAAACCTGCTTTGCTACAGTGATTTGGTTCACTTTGGTTGACCCAGTTCCTGGGGTCTCCCCAAATTTCAGCTTTTTTGTCGCTCTCTTTTTGTTCTTATTGTTAAAAGGCCAAATAAATAATGAATGTATGAATGAGTGCTATTTAGGCTAACTAGGCCTAGACTAGAACACAGATAATGTTTAAACATTCAACTGGTAATAATTATTATAATGATTATGTTTGGCAGAGTTTTGTTATGGTTTAGGTTGATTAAAATAAACTCGAAAATAGTAGGCCTGGCCTTAGGGCGGGCCCTCCCTCTATGACTAGGTTGCTCTTTCATCTTTGCTGTATTTTGCTTATCCTGTAGCTGTACTGATTGTATATATATTTTAATTTTTATTTAATCATTTCAACATGAACAAATAAAATTGGAATCAGCATAAGCAGCACTCTTCAAATTGTTGTGCATAGTACATCAAATCAAGGTAATTCAACAAAAGGACGCACATCTCTGCTCTCGAACATAGCGCGTGCGTACAGTCCTTTGATCTTTACTGTGGCATCGACAATCCGATACTAGTTGCGAATACAGCCGTCAATTATTAGTCTATGCGTGCCATTCGTTTTATGGTGTTAGTTTTTATTTTACAGAACATTTATCAATTTTTTCTGCGAAGTGAGTCTCATGAACGACAATTCACCACAATTTTGGTAAAATGAATGTTGAAATGAAGAATATAATTTCAGTCTAATATTAGTGCAAAATATTATTAGGCCTTTGTAATCACCGCACGACGAGCGATTATCATGGCAACTAACACGCGTGTGGGTAATTCGTCACATACGCTGACGGTTTATGGTCTGGTTGCTATGGTTTTTGTGACGTTCAACGTGCAGGGACGCACTTGTGCCTAGAATGTTGATGCCAGAGTTATAACATTTGATGTCCCGAGATGTGCGTCCTTCTGTTGAATTGCCTTGATCAAATCATAAAGGAATATGGTATTAATATATAAAAATTATTTTGTACAAGTAACAACAATTATAATCAGTGGTGGATCCGGGGTGGGGGGTTCAGGGGGTTCGGACGAACATGACAAAATACTACTGAGTCATGGCTTACAAAAGGCATGCTAACATACCTAGGCATAATATGTTGGCAGATCAAACAACCTAGGCTTAGCCCAACTAGTCTTTCTGTTTTATTTTTGTCGTGTGAGAATATGTTATTAATTAGAGCAAAGTTTAAATTAAAAAAAAAAAAACCACCCCATCGAAGTCTGTACTATTCACCCCATTGAATTGTATTATTGACAACAATAAAATGTCAATTTTTAGTGATTAATTTTATTTGCAACTCAGACTCAAGCAGCTGTGAATAAGGTGCGGACATTACTTGAACAACGCCCTGACATGGAAGCCTTGAGAATTGGCTTAAAGACCAGAGGATGCAATGGTCTCTCATACACGTTAGATTATACCAACGAAAAGAAAAAGTTTGATGAAATCGTTGAACAAGGTGGTAAGTAACTGCATACAGTAAAACATTCTGTATTCTTAAGATAATTTATCAGTGGCTTTTAACAATATTTGTAGTACATTTTAGCTTTAATACAAACTGTATTTATTGATCACTGTTGATAGTCAATATTGTATTTGATTTAGATTATGGAAAATATAAAACCAAAGGAGTAAAATTGATTCCAAACATAGTACTGCATTGAGTCATATAAACTATAAAAATTTATACCTGATAATTTTTTATTTTCCTTTTATTAGGTGCCAAAATATACATCGATTCTAAAGCTCAACTAGGTATTCTAGGAACTGAATTGGATTATATAGAAGAGATTTTATCAAGTGGATTTGTTTTTAATAATCCCAATATTAAAGGTACATGTGGTTGTGGTGAAAGCTTCAATGTATAGTACATGGATGATCCTCATGGTCAAGGGAGAATAAAAGAACATTTTATTTGAATTGGTCACTCAGTGCTGATAACCTGTTCATTAAATCGAGCCACACTGTTTATACACCATTTCCATTGCAATCTGTACACTCCATAGATATGCCGAAGCGAATGGAGAAAGTTCTACCTGTTCCAAGCATTTTCATATTATACCGAGGATGTCAATGTATCAATATTTTGAAATTCAGCCTTTAGTCATTGTACATCAGTAGCCATTATAATCTGCACTGTTGGGCAGTGTGCACAAGTTAACATTGCAATAGTTGATATATCTTGGTTCATGTTTGTTTCTACTAGTATACTATAGAGGCAGACTGCATAAAGATAAAGTGCAGAGACTAATTTTATATACTCGCTATACAAGTAAATAACTTGACTGTTGAGGTATCACACAGTACACTGTGAACATTGCGACAGTCCTCTGTACGTATTATTGTGAATGATGATGTATGTAGATTTCAGGAATGTTTTAAGCTGTTATTACTGTGCTATAAAAAGATTTGCCATGCATTCCATGGCTTACTGTTAATTATAATAATGGTTTGATTTATGGTTGGACATTGAAGTGGAATTAAGAGGTTTACTAATCAAATAATGGGATTTTATAGTATTTCTTACGATATATCAGGCTGCTATCTGACACTTGGAATATGACTTGAATTACTGGCTGGGTGGGGGATGGATGATTGAGAGGGTTCAAATACTGCATGTTTGCTTTTGACAAGGAGTAGTAGCGTCCCAATATTAAGAAGAGCACAACATTATAATGCAGAACACTAAGTTTTAATGAAAGCAAAGCAAATCAATCTAGCTCATTAAAGGTATACTGCCTGCCATTTAAATCTAATAAACTTGAAAATATACTTATATTATTATAATTGCCATGCAATACAAACAACTACTCATGCAAAAGAGTTTCAGGAATGAGTTCCTTTAATTGGATTTGCATTCTCACCGTAGCCTTAATGGATCAGTTAGCAGAAAGTCCCAGGTTCCAATGCCTCTGTTTCATTTTTCAATCTCAATATTAGTTGAGAGTGATAATATCAGAATTTCAGGTTTTATTTATTTTTTGGGGAGGCATTCACAATATTTTTGGTGACAGTATATTAGTAATGACTTTGTTCTGTGTGTACTGTATATAATTTAGAAAATACTATCCAGTATTTAATTAATAAAAAGCAATATATACGGGTTCTGTTTTGTTCAAATCAGACCATGGTAATGTTGTATTTGTTGTCTACAATACATTTAAACTACCAGTGAAGTTGTTTGAGAATCTCAGAAATGTGTTTTGATATGTAAGGTATAAAAAAGTCTTGCCATAATAACAAATCTATGTGTCAGAAGCCTGCACAAATCATTGGTGTAGTGTGACAAGACTATCAACAATACAGTAATGACATGCAAAAATGTAAAAATGGAGATGGGTTAGGCCATACATAGGCGGATTCAAGAGGGGCAGGCACCCTCCACTAATCGCCCCACCCAAAAAAAAAAAAATTTAAGCAGGTTACCAGCCGAACAAAAAAAAAAAATTAAACAGGTTATCATCCGAAAAAGGTATAGTACAGTAATATTAAATTTGAAAGAGGGTGACAATCAAATTGTTAGCTCAAAATAGAAAATTTCAATGTAATTTGCACATTTACTCACACAGCCTGTTGTTTGCAAAAGTGTATTTTTTCACTTGAATTAACATCCACTCGAGGTGTATCTGCTTGAATTGACTGGTTCCCATAACATCATGTCATGATAGACTAAACGTTTAAATTCAATTCAATTAAAACAATAATATACAACCAGTCTGAATATCAATATTCACAGTACATTGTACAATATTTTAATTGTTCAAAAAAACAGGGAAATTTCATGACCATGTAACTTAAAACAGTTACAAATATTTCTATACCCTGTACATACATTATGGTTAACACTATCAAATACATACATATTTTAAATACACTGCTTTGTATATAAAATCTATTTTTCACAAAATAACAGTTGTTTGTTACTTTATTTTATTTTACATAATATTTTATGACATTTAAGAACCCTCAACAATAAATAATTTATAATGAACTATTGGAGAGGTAGAGTCAACCATTAATATCAGAGTGGTAGGAGGAACATGGGACAGAAAGTGGTGGCAAAAGGGTTAATACTGTAATGGGGTGGGGCTACATGAAGTTTATATGAATAACATGTACAGATAATGAATGGAAACATTGATTAACAATACAATGCAAAATTACAATGACACTTTACATGACTTCCAACCAACTTTTCAACTGTATAATTGAAACTAGACACCGACAGTCAAAAAAATTCCCCCTGAACTCATAAACGATTTACTACCACCGAGAACAAATTATTTTACAAAAATGACTTTACTGCAAACTTTCTTTGTATGCATTAACTTTTGAGGCGAGTTTAGTATAATTCCTGAGGCAATTAATTAGCATAAAAACTAGTATGAGCATCTGACATAGATTTGACACTGAAGGGATATTGTAGATATATTGTGAATTACAGCCACTGCAGTTACCGGTATGTCAGATAATTTTTTTAAATTTCAGTCACCAAAGCAGCAAATACTTGATATGTGTAATATACAATAGTTTCTTTAAATAGTAAAAATAAAAATCTAAAAGACCACACACCAATGCAGCACTACCAAAATATTAAAACTAACAAATGTGTGCTAATCTATTTATACAATATAATTCTCCGCAAAACATTACATGTAAATTTTCAATTAATATTTTTAGTATTATCAACATATATTATTAAGAATACATAAACATACATTTAGTATATGCTTCTATATATACTGTTTACATAGATACATTTATTGTATTAGTCAATAAATTTCATCAAATTCACAATTAATTAAATTAAAATCAAATATAATAAATCACATTCAATGTGAATTGGATTTTAAAGCATCCGTTAATATTAAAATCTTTCCCAATTCGTTTGAAATGTTGTACAGTACTTTCTAGAGCTGACAACAGAAAGTATAGTTTATGTGAAATCATTTCTCATATTAAAAGCTGACAAAATTTATACTATCAGCGTTGAACTTGATTAGATTTCAATTGTCGGTAAATGAGCGACAACTTGTTAGAAATTGTCTAATTGGAAGTGAATACTTAACTTATTACTTCAGATGTGGATATCAAAGAAACATACAGTTAGTATATGCTTCTATATACTGTATACTGTTTACATAGATACATTTATTGTATTAGTCAATAAAATTCATCAAATTCACAATTAATTAAATTAAAATCAAATATAATAAATCACATTCAATGAGAATTGGATTTTAAAGCATCTGTTAATATTAAAATCTTTCCCAATTCGTTTGAAATGTTGTACAGTACAGTACTTTCTAGAGCTGACAACAGAAAGTATAGTTTATGTGAAATCATTTCTTATATTAACAGCTGACAAAAATTATACTATCAGCGTTGAACTTGATTAGATTTCAATTGTCCGTAAATGAGCGACAACTTGTTAGAAATTGTCTAATTGGAAGTGAATACTTAACTTATTACTTCAGATGTGGATATCAAAGAAGTGCTCTCCAACCCCGGTAACAACAAAAAATTAACCAAATGTGACATTTAAATAAGAGATAAAAATGGTTAAAACTTCAGAACTTCCGGGAAACACCATTAGACCACCACTATTGGGTAGGAACGCCCAACCCCCTACGTCTTGGACCTCATTGAAAAAGGAATAAATATGTTATTACACAGATCAAATCATACAAATTTCCACTAATTTCCAGAAATTTTATTACAAAAATTCTTAAATTATTACCAGCCAATTTAAGGGTCTATTCATATCACACTGAGATACTACATCTGTAAATTAACTCTCAACTTTTAAGTTGATAAATCTATTGTACTGATATGTTCAGATAGAAAAATAGATGCGTAGTTACCACTGATTAGGAAATACGAATCATTCAGTAGGTGGAATTTGATAATTGATTCTGAAAATATATTATACACACAGTTGGCAGTAGAATGATTATAGAAGCACCTAGCAGTGGGTGACAAGGTATTCTGATAGTGGCATTCTTGGAGGACTGAAGTATTCTTTACTGTTTTCAACTTTTGTGTGCCGCTTACTTCCCTGATTAAAGCCTAGAAAAAAAATCCAAATTACATTAAATTATTAAATTAAAAAAAAAGATATTGTTCTTTTAAAACATAATAATAATAATCAAGGGCGGCGCCAGGATTCCCCGACGAGGGGTCCAACTCCCCGACACCTGAACGTTGGGAAGGAATCGTCGTGGAAGCCTAGGTAGCCCCTCTTCCCCGGTCGGGGAAACAATTAAATATGTTGGGGAATTTTCTTTATATTAAAAAATAATAAGATTTTGTGTTCTTTATTTAAAAAGGATAATTTGTTAAGAGTCCCCATGTCGGGGGTACTAGTCCCCATGTCGGAGGTACCATCCCTGTCAGGAACGAGCTGGCGCATGCAACCCATACGATCGTAATAATAATAATAATAGTGGAGATTTGTATAGCCCTGGTATCCATCAAACAAGATGCTCATCTCATGGCACTTGATATGTGGACTAGAATCCACTTAATAGACCTTTCCGGAGTGTCAATCAAACCTAACAACTGACTAATCAAAACAGCGCTAGGAATACGCGCGCGTCTCACAAACCCACGTGCTGTGCCACAAACGCACGTGTTCGCGTATGTTTTAACACTGTCGCTTTGTGGGACCTTAGCAACAATATCCAAGGGGCGGGGCTTAGCGGAAAGGTCTATTGATTACTTAACTAAGCCTCATAAAGAAACTTGGTTATAGAGCATCAAGGGTCCTAAATGATGAACCCCCACACTCTCAAATCAAAGGGTCTTGGCAATCATGAAATTTAGCCTCCTCGAGCCTCATAAAGGCTTGGATAGAGAGTGTCAAGGGTCCAGAATGATGAACCCCCAACACTCTCAAATCAAAGGGTCTTGGCAATCATGAAATTTAGCCTCCTCCAGCCTCATAAAGGCTTGGATAGAGAGTGTCAAGGGTCCTAAATGATGAACCCCCACACTCTCAAATCAAAGGGTCTTGGCAATCATGAAATTTAGCCTCCTCCAGCCTCATAAAGGCTTGGATAGAGAGTGTCAAGGGTCCAGAATGATTAGCTTTGCTGGATAGACCACTCTTATTAAGTATAGTTTAAAACAAAGTACTCACTAGAAGATTGTAGATCAAGGTACTGAGACAAGGCATGTATAAGTAGCCTTTCAAAACTGTTGCCAATGCAAGATATATAGACAGAACAAGGGTCATCTGAAAACCAGCATACTAACTCTTCTTCTAAATGTTCCAGTGTTCCCTAAAGTAAAAACAAAATAAAGCTTGAGCTTTAATACCAACTACAGACCCAGATCCTTATTATGGGTGAGAATTGTAACAGCAAATGTGATGTCAAATGCAAAATTGGTTCTGCAGAGCGGACACTGTGAGAGAATGAGAACATCCAATGGAAGAACACCAGAACATCGGTGGTGCCAACTAGGGACAGAGGAAATTTCTCTCCTGTCGTCCATAGCCACTTGAAGTTGTTGGATTCAAATATTTGTCCAGGTCCAAACAAAGTTATTATGATTGAAGTTTATAATATTATGGTTTATAATAAACACAACAGAATCTCCAAGGAAACGATTGGCCTCTTCCTTAACGAAGGGTCCAGACTTCCCTGACTGGAAGTAATGAGGACCCTGATGCCCTGGAATAAAAAATAAGAAAAAACCCACATCTTTAGTGTTAAAATCTAAGACTCCGAAACCTACCTTAGGAGGATGGCGACGACGCAACATGTTCCTGAAGCGAGAACTTATGCGTTTGTAGCATGCATCAGCATCAAAGGCTGGATGATCTAAATGCATCATACAAATGTTCAATCAGTAATAAGTACATTTATTTGCTATATCATGAACAAGCACTTAAATATTATGACTACAAGATAATCATATGTGTTACTAAATACTAATAAGATGATGAAGCAATTGGGAGATGAACAGAGTCCAACAAAAAGTCTTCATGATGTACAGTATTTCTTACCTAATCTAGCATCACAGTCATCCATTACAGGCTCCAAATTCTCATTTTTCTTAGTTTCAGCCTTTTTTTCATCTATGTTTTTGAGGTAGATATCCTGGTCTTCTTCAGATCGATTTACAAAGTCATTCCAAATCTAAAGAAGAGGTGAATACATTGTATATTTTGGTGGATTTGTGCACTTTATAAATCTTATTATTATTATTATTATTATGGAAGCAGGCAATGTAGTTAAAGTTTAGTTTTAATTACTATCCATCCATCCATCCATTAATTTCTTTATTGATTTATTCACTCCTTCATGTTCACTTCAGCCATGCATGGTGCATCTGTATTATATCCATGTTGTCCAATCTTGCTGGGTTGTGATGATGATTTTTTTTTTTTTAAATTAAATCAATATTTTCAATTTTGGATATACTGTAATTGAATGACACGATAATTAAATAAAATGTTATTTGCAATTTTTCTATTACCTTCATGTTTTCTTGTTCAGCAAAAAGAAGTTCAAACGCTGTCTGATTGGAATTTAAAAAATCTTGTGCAGTTATTTCATTCACATCATCGTCAACTAAATCCAAAAGAAAACAGGCTGAAAAAAACCAAAGAAATGAATAATATGAATATGCTATGCAATTGTATTATCATCATCATTATCATCTTTGTTATCACTATCATCATTATCATCATCATCAATAAACAATCACAGAATTTATACTGATTCTATCATGGACTCTATCAAAAATGTTCACAGGCACTCATCACAACAAAAGACTTCAATAGAGGGATTCGGCGATGGGCGTCACATGACCTAACTTGGGTGTTGGATATAAACAGTTGACTGGCACAGCATTGTTTTACATGGAGATTGCTATGGCAGTCATGCCTTGTTATTGCTGTAAAGATCATCATAATTCCCAGTAAACTACACCAAATTGATTGGAAATTAAACTTAAGAATTTTGCCTTAATGTTTTGCTAATGCTGTAAAGAATACTGGCTACAAACATTGAGATTTTTTGACAAATGTTAGGCCTAGGCCCCTGCACATCTACGGCATGGTTAGGTATGCATGGGGCTCTTCAACCCACGAACTACGCTGTGATGTTAGGGCCAGCTAAGGTTTATGAAGGATCAGTTAAATTTCAAAGCATACAATTTAAGGAGATGCTAGGATAAGTAAATAAACACTATTTTAAACAATTGCATTGCCTGTCCTAGCCATTTACCTCTCAACAGTGGGTGGTTGTTTTTGCAACCATAACATTATCTTTTCCTATGCTATCGCACTGTAATGTTTTTCATGCATACCCAAGTTAGGTCATGTGACCGCCTGTAAACAATCATCGCCGAATCCCTCTATTACAACTGAAATTTCATAGTATCACTAACATCATTATCTTTACTGGCATTAGTTTATTATTGTTTTCACTCCCATCATAATTCTATATTTTTATGGTTAGGTATTCAATGACCTTACTATTTTCATAACGCCTTGAGTTTTTGGAGCCTGGTGCCTTGCGTCCTGAACGTTTCATAAATGTCATAGGGCACGGTGGTCTTGTACTCTTTAGAACCTTTTTCTTGTGAATCTTTTTAGGTGATATATTTAATTCCTCATTGCCATCCATCTTAGGTACAATTACCATTTGTTCTTCATTTAAGCTGGATAACAAAAAAAGTAAAAACAAAATGACATATTTAGAAACTGACACTGTAGTTAATTTTATTTACAGTACAGTTAAACTTGCCAAAGTCAACTTTGCCTAACTCCAATAATTTCTAAGTCGATCTTATTTTACATGCCAAATTGTTGTTTTCCATTAATTACCAACAGTAAAGTCAAATTTTACCTAAGCCAAACAATTTTTCAATTGCATTTTGGATTTGACTTTAGTTTAACTGTACTATGTAGTTACTTTTAATATTTTTGTTATGTTATTTTAATTTTATCGCTGTACTGTAATCACCATTACATGCAATAACAACTTAAATAATATTGCTGTACAGTAATCACCATGCAATAACAACTTAAATAATTATGTTTCACTGTTTCATCTGTTTTGAAGGCCTACAAATTCATTTATTTATTTATTCGACACCCAATGAATAAATAAACATTAGCCTCATGATACAGAGTTGGAGCAGTCTGCTGATGTATTTTAATATTGTTTGGTATGTAGATTAGTAGTAATAGTAGCAGTAGGCCTCTAGTAGTAGTAGTAGTAGAGTACAAGCCTAGTACTTCAAATCCAGCTACTACTACTACTAGCCTAGTAGGCCCTATTTTTTGGGATTCCTTTAAAACAACATTCTGAATAATTAATATTTATTAGGCCTATATTTTCTTTTTATAAATACCAACAGCAACATATATGAAATATAATATGCTTGTTCATCAAGCATCTTCATGATTTACCTAAACTAGGCCTAGGCTACGCCCTCCTTACATTAAAATATAGCAGGAAGCAAAACAAACAAAATAATATACACCCATCCATCCAGGGTTGCCGGTAGGTAGATATGCTTGGATGCCTAGGCCTAGCCTAGCTTTGAGTTAAAACTTACCTCTACCAACGTTATTTGCACATTAAATTTTACTTACCTCTGATTCAAACCGTAGCAATCTTTATTATCTTGCTCTTTAACGACTCCCATGATTGTAAATAATAGGATACAAATAAAAAATAATATTGTTTCAGATGCTTACGCAATCAATGTTTACAAAAATAAGTTCGGGCGCGCATCCTCGAGCCGAAAGTACGGGGCGCCGTTTGGGACACTCCTAATTATGTCTTTAAATAGGCATTCTGCTGTTGTTACAGAAATAACTATGTACCATATAATTATTACTGTCAAACTATTATGTGTACATAATTAATTCTGTGGTTACAGAAATAATTATGTACCACAGAATTATGTACTACAGAATTATTACTTTCTAATTATTCTGTAGTACAGAATCAATTCTGTACTACTTAATTTTGGTTTCTGTCCACTCTCTACGCAAATGAGAAGGTGGAGTTTCCATCAAACATCCAACAGAATCATCCATGTCCAATACTGTCAAAAGTCCTTTGAGACTAAGACAGTGGGTTTTCAGCTGTGCCATACTTGATTGACAGTGCAGTACTTGATATAAAACACCATTTCTTTTTCCCTCTTTTATTCACAAATATATCCTACTGTATACTTCCATGTGGAAACAAATGCCATATGATAATATTCATATGTATTCATATAAGTGTCTGTTAATTACTACATTATTTTTTAATAGTATGGATGTATTATTATTATTACGACTACAGTAGTTATATTATTTACATTATTAATTCCTTTAATATGATTTACAAACACAGTCTATTTCCATGTGAAAACAAATACTGTATATGATAACATTAATTTTGTTAGATACCACACTGTTGCGTATACAATACAGGTCTCCCTCCATTTAAAGACCACACTTGGGACCAGGGTTTCCATGGTCTTTAGCAGCTTTGGTCTCTAATTAGAATACTAAAGAAAAAGGACATTTGTGAAGTTGGTATTTATTACTTGACCCCTCTAATTAGAGACCACCTCCAATTAAAGACTTTTTGTGATCCCAAATTCACAAATGTCTTTTATCTTTACTTTTTTAATTAATAATTCTGTAGTACATAATTATTTCTGTTAATACAGAATTAATTATGTACAAAGAAAAGTTTGACAGTAATAATTCTGTGGTACATAATTATTTCTGTAACAATTCAGAATTAATTATGTACACATAATATTTTGACAGTAATGGTTCTGTGGTACAATATTATTTCTGTAACAACAGAATGCCTATTTAAAGACATAAATAGCAATGTTCCAAACGGCGCCCCATAGTATGAGCGTCACTCGTCTTCGTTGGGATGAATGACATCATCGGGATCGCTCGGAAAACGGTCGGAAAACATCTGCCGCCCTCAACGATGGCGCGAGGTGGCGAATAATCGCGAGTCGAGTAAATTTCATGCTTGCTTCTTTTTTGTGCGAAAACAACAAATGTACGTACGTAGGCCTACATTATTATTAGAATCGACGATATAGCATAGACAATGGATGATGAATCAGAAACGTGGAAGTTATGGCGAATTCGAAAAACAATCATGCAGGTACAGGCATAATTAACTACTTTAGCTACTAAATCATGGGCCTGATCCACTGGGATCTACTGGGCTGGGCTGATGTAACAACAATGTACATTGTGAGGTAGTGTGATGAGGTGCCCGCGAAGAATCGTTGTGTGCCTGGGTTTTATCAAACGTTCAAGACAGGCCTAGCCTAGCCAAAATATTTAATACAATAAATAATACATTTATGTTTATAAAATTGAACACTTTCATTCTTTCTACATATATAATAATATGAATTAAAACCACATGGTTTTATGGTTTCATGCCATATCTTCTGAAATGATAACAACATCATCATCATCAAATCAAAACTACCTAGGCTAGGCCTAGGCAGGCTAGTGTAGGAGGCTAGGCCTACAGACAGTAGCCTACCTAGGCCTAGGCTAGAGGAGGCTAGTAGGCTAGGCCTTAAAAATTCAAATGAAATGCGAACCACCACAACTTAATTTCAACTCAAATTGAATGGTGCCCATTTAAAAAAATTAATATACTGTAAATGTTCATACATATAAAGCGATGAGCTTGTTATGGACAATGTTTTTATTTGAATTTATTGCAGAAGAAAATAAGACATGAAAGTCTCAAAACTTGCTCGGCCCTATTATTATTGTCAAAAATTGAATGAATTACACTTTGTAAGAATACAAGCATTCACTTATATATAACAAAGTAATACCTGATTTGCAGTGGCAGTGTACAGTAGTAGTTGTAGTGAGACCTGAATATTTGTTTCTGCACTAGTGTAATTATTAACTCTCTTTTTTAAAAGAAATCAAATGTTTTTAATTATTTTTTTTTTCAAATATATTTGCCAGCTGTGTCACGACAGGGGTTATTTGGTGACCCAGGATGAGTTAGACCAGACACTTGATGAGTTCAAAGTTCAATTTGGTGATAAACCAAGGTAAAAAGTGCCAAATATAATCAATTGTTTGTTGACACTCCTCTACTGCAGTTGCTTAAAATTTGCCTTCCATCTTGTTCAGCTCGCACCCATACAACAGCATGTCACTTTGGTATTGTGCTCCACTCACTAGCTTTCTGACTGTTAGTGATATAGTACCAATATATTTCTTATAAACTTTCTCTCTTTATGGCCCTGTCACACCTTTGACAATTTAGCCAGTGTATGCCGGCATATGAACAATTCGGCCAAAACCTTTCGGAAAGGTTGAACCTGATTTAACTTTGCCGATTGCGTTGCAGACAAATTGTTGTGCGTCCCGATTGTGTCAGGGCAGCTAGCAATGCACCCTGATTTCTCTACAACGCAATCAGCAAAGTTGAACCAGGTTCAACCTTCCCATCTGTTGGCGACTGTCGCCGATAGAGTGAGCGATTCTGTGAAAACCGAGCTTAAGGTAGACTGTCGTTGGGCATAAGTTGTGAACGTTGGCAACATGCTAAGCATTTGTTTATTATAAGTTTTCAATAAGTTATCAAGGCGTTCTATGTAAGTTACTAATATGTTATGTATATGTTCAACTCTTTATGAATACGCTATGTATGCACCCAAAATTGTACAAAAACATCGATAGTTCAGCGTATGCCAGATTTTTATAGAAATTTTGATGAGTCGGCATACGCTGACTAAATCGTGACAGGGCCATTACATTCATGACCCTCCATAATGTTGCCACTTGCTGCATTTCTTGTCCTATACAATCACACATGAACTTCCTCTTACTGTCTATAAAGCTCACTTTCAGTTGCTATGTCCTGTCCACAAATCATTAACAATACAGCACAAAAAACTTTTGACAACTTTTCAAAATAGTTTAAGCTTTCTAATCTGTATTATTTTCAGTGAAGATCGACCACGAAGGCAAGACCTAACCATACTTGTAGCTCACAATGATGATCCCACAGATCAGATGTTTGTTTTCTTTCCTGATGAGCCAAAAGTTGGAATCAAGACAATAAAATTGTTAGTCACATATTTATTTTCTACAGATGCTAATACTGTAGATAACAAATAGGAGATGAAGGCAAGGGGGCAGATTTGTGTTGAAAGGTGGAGGGGATATTTCGTGAGACCAGCCCCACCATGGTTGGTGTGCGAAAATTTTAGTAAATAGTACCTCTAGATGGCCGGAAATGACACTCTTATATAGTAAAATTTGTCAACCATCACATCACCCTTATTGTCAAAATGAAGTGACAACAAATTTCTCATGATCTTTTATCTGCAATTTTCGGCAACCATAGAGATATAATTAATATGTGTGATGTACCGTAGAAAATATAACTTAAAAACATTGTCTTTGATGTATTTACTTTACTTTACCCACTTCAAAGCCTCAAGTTCACACCCATCTCAGCCCTGCCATGGTTGGGGCTGAGGTGCAAAAATTTGAAGAAATGGTACCCCAAGATGGCCGGAAATGACACACTTATATAGTAAAATTCATTATTAAACATCACCAGGATCTTTCATCAGCGATTTTCAGCAATCATTGAGATCTAATTAATCTCCGTATTGCACCACAGAAAATAAAACTTAATTGCCTTTGATGTATTTACATTAACTTTACCTACTTTGGGTGCCGAAAATCTATTTTTTCATACAGTACTTCTAAAATTATAATAAAAGCATGCGTACACGAGTCATGTATGATAGATAATTCAGGTGTTAGTATCTTGCTATAATAATTCAGGTGTTAAAACCTGGGTCATTTATGCAGATAATTTCAACAACTTTCAGGCATCATCTTTACTTTTGCATTACATTTTGGTCGAAAAGTTGGTTGACCAACCCCCCTGTAAAATATGTGGGGGAACGTGTCTCCCCCATGACCTGCGCCCATAGAGTACAACAGTCGTGTCGTCCCAACACCAGGTGGCGCCCTCTTTTGTCAACCAGATGTTGGGTACTGTTCATTACGCCTGAATGACTTCATAATCTTAATGGTTTAGAATAGGCTTTCTGGAATAGGCATTTTAAAACCTAATAATTTGTCATCAAAATGACAGATGAGAAATGATACTAATTAATGTGTACACAAACTGATTTTCCATAAGTTTAGTGATTATTGATTGAGTTATACAAGGGTCATTTATTATCCAATCAGTTGAAAATTATTATTATTGTGATTTGTACTGTATAATTATGGTCAAGTGACAAATCAATAACTGTGTCCATACACACAAATGACTATTGACCAATGATTTATTGACAGATACTGTAAGAGAATGCAGGACGAGAACATTAGCCGAGCAATTATTGTTGTCCAAGTTGGTATGACACCTTCTGCAAAACAAGTAAGTACTTTAAAAATTTTGGTTTTGGCCAATATTTTTCTATACCTTATCTTGTAAACCCACAGACTGTCGATCAAATGATTTTTTTTATGTCTGACCTGTATATTATTGATTTTCTCGTTTTAACGGCTCAAAATAGTTTTTTGTTTCTGTAATTTTGCCCATACAGTATATGGGTATATGATATCATCATGCCAATAATATTAATTATTATGTCCATTTACTATTTACTATATATCTTTATTGTACCAATCTATTAATTACAGAAGGTGACCAAGGTACAGTTAGAGCTAATCATGCTTGCCATTTAACCCTCATCCCTCTTAAACTACAAATTAAATAACAGAAATGAAAATATTGAATGTTTATTATTGTTAGTCTTTAGGGGACATGGCTCCTAAGTACATTTTGGAACAGTTTCTGGAACCTGAACTTCTGATCAACATTACTGAACATGAAGTAAGTAAATAGTAGTGCGAATAAGAATAATTATAATATTGATAATAATATAGAGTTTCTAAGAAATACAAGGGACTGAAAAGGATGGGAAATAGCATCAGAGGCCTGTCAAACTTTCAAGATATAGCATAGAACTGAGTGCATGCTCAGGCCTGAAAAAAAAATGTTTGTGCCTCCAACCATGAAAATTGTCTCAATAAAATGCCAAATGTAAATGTACACTATATACAGTAGCCCAACAGTTTATTTTTTTGAATTTTTTTCCCCAAAAATGCCCCTGGGACATTCATGATGCCTCTGACCGCCGTTCACGTGGTCGCACACTTTTCCAGCCTGGTGCATGCTGATGGCTCTCATCTTTTCTTTCACTGTGGCTGTGCGCGTTTCTTCCTGATGTGTATCAATGAATACCGACTTTTAAAAAGGAGTTGTAGTCATATGAAGAATACATAGGGGTATTTTAATCTCACATTCAGCACACATCCCGTGTAAAATTTTGTTTCATTTAAATCGTGTATATTAGATTGTTGGTTGCTGTAAGAAGACCTAGCCTACGGGGCTGGATTTAGGGGAGCTGGCATGCCCCCCCCCCACCCCTTTTGGGATGTAAAAAAAGATTTTAAAAAAAAAATGATAGCCCAGAACGCCTTAAATATTTTTGGGCGTCTAGAACACAAAACTTTTGCGGGAGAATTCCCCCGGAACCCCTAGGACAGTGTTGTCTCGATCGGCCCAACTTTCATCCCCCTTTCGGCCTCCCCTCCCCTTTCGCCCTACGTTCAATCTTTTTAAATTTTTGTTTAGGAAAATTACCATTTCGTTTACAGCCAAAGAATGTTTATTTCTTGAAGCATTATTGAATGTTAATGAAGGATGCCCTCTGTTTTCATAAATCTCAACATCATGTTTCTCTATTGTTAGTTACATGTCAAGGCCATAAGTGTGAAATAAATAAGTCTCCAACCATTTAATAATATCTTAGAAGACTTGGCTGTTTCTTTTAGTTTGCGTGTGTGTGAGTCTGAATATTATATAATAATTATAATAATATAATATTATATTATATATAATATTATATAATTTGGTTTTTTTTCTAGTTTGTTCCTGAGCATGTTGTCATGACTAATGAGGAAAAAGCAGAACTTCTGGCAAGATAGTATCCTTAAGTTTCATTAAAAGTTTTTAACTATTTTAGGAAAATGTTTCAAACATCATACTACATAATAAGGACATGGTGATATGCATACGTACTTGAATTATCTCATTAACAAAGTGTTTTTCCAAAGACCATATTGAATAATATAATGAGTCTTGATAAAATGACCAAATACTATAATTTTATTATACAATACACAGTTTTCAGAATACTGCACTATTGTTAATTTTCATCAGCTGTATAATAGATATATAACAATAAAAAATTTTTTAAACAAAACTTATGTTATTTAAATCATGTGGAGGAGGATATCTTTTTTTGAAATGTAATTATTCCTTAATTGATATTCTAAAGTAAATTAAAAGAACATCAGCTACCAAGAATTCAGGTTGGTGACCCAGTTGCAAGATATTTTGGACTCAAGAGAGGACAGGTAGGACATTCCTAATTTCTACATTGTCAAATTGTGGTTCATAATTTTCTGTTTTTATGTCATAAAATTTACCCACAATTCTTGTAGGAGCATGTGGCTTAGCATGTTAAGTGTTAAACTTCTGATTGTGAGATCGGGAGTTTGAGACCGACGCTCGTCGCATTGCTTGTGTGCTTGGGCAAGGCACTTTACTTACGTTTGCCTCTCTCCACCTAGGAGTATATATAGGTACCTGGTAGGTATGGCATTGAATGTATGGGTTGTTTGGTTCAAGCAGCAATGACCAGGGATACTCCCCAAGGAGCAGAGAAAGTTGCACAATGTGTGGATCTGCCAATTCAGTATCCAGTGACCAGGGAAATAATGATGCCAGCGCCTTGTATAATCGCTTGTAAAATCTGCAGATTGTGAAAGGCGCTATATAAATTATGGTTCTATAAAAAAATAAAAAAAAGAATTCTATGCTGGTGATATCATCACTTACTAGTGCAGTACTGTGAACATATTTATACAAAAGATTGCTGAAATATAGAACAACATTGCTGAAATATAGAACAATATCAATACCATATCAATCAAAACCCTTCAATGAAAAAGTCCCTTATGAGTTTGAATGTACTAAGTAAATGGACCTTTCCACAAAGCTCCTCCTTGAATATCATTTCTAAGTTCTCACAAAAAAACAGCATAAAGCATGTTCGTTTGTGAGACAATAATGTGTTTGTGGGAAAAGCACGGATCCCTGTTCCAATTGTTATTCGATTGACACTTTGGAAAGATCGTTGAGCACTTTAGTGGAGATGTGCGCTTAATAAATCTTATTATTATTATTATTATTATTACTTGAAAGAATTCCAATATTAAATACTTGTTTCAGGTTGTTAAGATTATTCGACCAAGTGAGACAGCTGGCAGATACATCTCATACCGACTCGTTCAATGAATCAAGGAAGTTATAGGATTTTTGGAAGGTATAAGAATGTATCAATTGATGTGATGACACCCACAGTATGTTGATAATGATGACGATGTTGATGACATCACAATAAAAGATTATATTTGTATGGATGCTGAGATCATTTTAATGCACTGAAGAGAATAACAAATATGCCCTACATAATAAATCTAGTGCATTTTTGCAACTCTTTAAATTTAATGATTTCTCTGGCTTTGTATTGTATTGAGATCATAGAGCAATTCTTTGCTTTATGGCGAGATGCACAGGCAGTGCCACTAGAAAACTCTTACTCTGCCTGTCGTTAAGAACTTAGGTATTTCTGGGTTTTTTTTGTTTTTGTTTTTTTTTTCAAATCAAGACAATGAAAAAAGTCATCTTTCAGCCAATAAGCTATCTAAATTTTCCAACATATACATAGTGATGTAGATATATGCCCTTGTTTTAGATAGGAAAGTATGGGCTTAGTATGAACAGGGTGTGTTGGTAAAGAATAGCAGCCTGCTGTTGATGCAGTTTCCTCATGCAATTTCTTTACATATGCCAATTTCAGACCTAATATCAAATCATATTGTTCTTATATTGTATTATAAATAATATAATGAATATGCACTAAGTGCATTGTTGGGATGTGTATATGCTTAAAAAAGAATAAATTAATTGTCTTCCAATAAAAATCCTAGTAAAGCCTAATGTAACCCTAAACATTTATCCTATACTTAGAATAAGTGTGATTGGCCATTGGCCAATGAAAGCTCATCCACTCTTTGTTAATTTAATTTAATTTCATACAGATTTGGATTCAAGCTAAGTTTTAATGCAATTATCACAGTCCCACACATTCATTAGTCAATAAGTGTATTGGTAATACACTTACCATCCATTCCCCCCCCCCCCCAGTTTTTAAATATTCAAAAATCTATTTTATTAACCATTTTAGAGTGGAAAATTCAGTAGTGCAACATATCAAAGAGTGTTTTCTTCCGGAGACTGGCTTATTTTATCCAACTTTGACTGTTTACTGTCATGCTAGCCCTTACCATCACCATGGTAAAATAACCACTTAAAGATGGTGGGATAAATTGGGTTTGTCTAATTGACTGTGCTTGAGTTTTGTACAGCCCTAAAGTTTATCTCTCCTCAACCCAAAATACTCAAGCAGTGTGGTAAATAGGGATGGCGAACTTCACCAGCATATGGTTTGTTGGATACTGGTGTTGTTTTTCTATATTCGTATAATAAAAGAAAACCAACACCAGACATCCAACAACATATGTTTTGTTGGATGACAGGTGTTATTTTTCTTTTATAGGATTACAGAACCTCAATTATTTTCATTGTTTTAAATTTTATTGCTGCTGTTTGTAAGGTTAACTACTAGTAGTAGTAATATTGATAAGTACATTAACACTAAACTAAGTATGGTGGACATATTAAAAACACAACTGAATTTTGTACACAATTGCTTTCTTTTGGTTTATCTTTACAGTCAATGTAGCATAAGCTTTGTTTATCAATTGTTGTACTGCATAGCAGTCCCCGAGGCAATCTGGAAGTCCCCCCTATTCGACCACCCAATCAGCATCACCAAAAGCTGTCTGCGATAGCGCGTAGCGATTGTATGGAAACCAAGCTATAATACAGTAGATGCTCATACATGCTTATTAGCTGTTTGATTCATTGAAAGAAAAATTCCAAAATTGACAAATAATTAAACTTTTGATCAAATGCGTTGTTCTTTAATATGCACCCTCTGCTCTAACCCTTTTGTCAAATAGATTCCAGTGGCGTATCCAGGATTTTAAAGAGGGTGCTGAATAGAAATACGTACTACATAACGCTCGTGCCTTTTATTACCATTAATTTACTATTATTTTTTCATGTTTGAACAAAAAGGGTGCTCAGGCACTTAGTCAACTACAACCGACATGGGTTTTTTTTTTGCCCTCTCCATTGATACTACCTAATTTAGAATTGGCCTGGTTTCAGAAAGAAAAAGAAAAGCAGTTGTCTTTACTCTGATATTGATATTGGATCCTGACACACACTCTCAAATTCAGTTCGGACCGTTTAGGTTGGTTATTTTCATATATTCTTTGAAGCGAACAGGACTGTTTTCATTATGAAACAAATCCAAACTTACACTAAAGTTGGCTGATGCAACCATCCGAAGCCCCTCAAACATTTGATTAAAAACTAGTAGTTGCTAATTCTTAATGCGCACATTGATCACGAAAAAAGAATAATGTATCCCTTCTACCGGCCAGATATTCACTGCCTTATTTTACGGTATTTTAAACGCGAATCACAGACAATCAACATTGAACTTTCATTCACTTGTAAATGGCAAGGCAATCGCATTCAAGGCAAACATAAACACATGGTGTTTTACATCAGCCATAAACGAAGTCCATTATTTGAAAGTAAAGTTGCTGATTTTTGGTCATCACTTGACAGGTTTTTGAACCCAGGATTTAGAGTTTGAAAGCCAAGCACCCTAACCACCAAAGTACAGTACAACTTTATTTCGTCATGCTGCGTATCGTGTTATGTTTTTATCTTTGTGAAGTTAATATTTGTAAAATGTTTTGTTCTCGGCAGACTGCATTTGTTGTGTTTAGTGTTTTCTTTAAGAATCATATGTGATGATCTTTAAATAGACTTTTCCGCTAAGCCCCATCCCTGGGATTTTGTGGTCCTACAAAACGAGAGTGTTGAAACATACATGCAAACACGTGCGTTTGTGGGACAACACGTGTGGTTGTGACTTGGAGATAAGCCAGGCTTGATTTAAGCCCGGCTCAACGTTCAGCCCGGCTTAACTTTGCCGGGCGTTCAGACTAGCAGGTTTAGCCAGGCAAGAATTTGCATAATAACGAACCGTAACCAGGAAACGTGTTTCAAAACATTGCTCGCGAAACGTACGTATGCTCACAGCGTACATAATTGAATGCTGATTGGTCATTTTGTTACCCGGAAGTCAATGCAAAACCCCCCGCAACGATTAAAGCCAGGCTTATTAAACATGGTGGCGTGCCAGGTCTAGTTACTATAGGAACACAGCCTGGTTTGAGATAAGCCACCTAGTTCAGACTGGCACTTGGATAAACCCGGTGAGTTGAGCCGGGTTTATCAACCTTGTCTGAACTAGGCCTTAGGCGCGTGGGTTTGAACATGTAAAATTAATAAATGTATGCCTTTAGAAGCTGTTGGGCATATTGATATACAATATAATATATAAACTGTAAATTATTAATAATTCGATTAGAAACAACATAGTGAACATTACCATTAAAAAATTCACTGTAAAATACTTTTCTCTAATAATATTCGTCAATCATACGGGAGACAAGCCAACAGTTTAGGCTGAAATCAAGTCTATTTTTGAAATATGAAACAACAAATTCGTTATATTAACTTGGCTGGCATTGTGGTATATCATAGTTGCCCCAGACACCATCAAAACACGTAATCGTCTGGGTTCCCTGCAATGTATAATTTGAGTTACACATGAACGTCACCACTGTGCCGTGCTTCAGATCAGGGTCAGTTTCGGTGATATAGCCGTTGAGCGGTAAGTCGAGAACAGTACAGGGTGCTGGGAAATAATTATAGAAAACAGACGGTAGTTAAAATGTTGGCATAGGACTGGACAATTTCTGGGTTTAATAAATATATGGAATATGTGTTTTTCAACAATATTCACAACCCTTAAATATTGATATCAAAACGACACATCCTCCAGTGATCCACTGGATCATCTTTTGTTTATGGAGCAAAATTTTAAACCACTAACTTTCATTTTTACCAGTTTAACTTTTAGAAGATTTCAAACTTGATTTGAACAATGGTATTACCTCTGCACTGTGGGAAGTCTGTGTCCCATGATCCATTGGACTTCTGAATGTTTTATTTGGTAATTTTAACTTCTGTACGTTTCGTCTATTTACTCTGTATTCGTACATGAGGCAAATCGGAATTACGGAGTCTGAGTGTGATTATTAATACTTTGGGATAAGACAAGGCAAACTTTAAAACGTTAATATTATAAACTAATTACAGTTTTATATTATCACATTGTAAGTGTTAAATTCCAGTTTTGGACAAATTAAAGATGATTTAAATATTGACATTAGGCCTACCTATGCATTCTGGGAAATCCGTGTCCCATGATCCATCTGAACACCGACTTGTAGACGATCCATTAATGGTGAACCTTGTAGCACAAGAGAAAGATGCTTCGGTATTGTGCTTCAGTTGTACGTCATTTACTGTAAAGCTCCCATTCGTTGGTACAATAGGGCTTTCACAAGGGGCTGAAAAAAACAAAATTTTATTTTATTTTTAAATCTGAGAATAAAAATTCTGCGTCTACCAACTTAAATTACCACAGAGATCTGGTTCTGGATCCGAGTTCATTGAAAAACGGCACTACACGATTTGCATGCATTTAACTGTGTGCTTTGGTTTCACATGTGAATTTAACCGGTGATTTTTTTTGTTGTGACTGATTTTCAAGATATTTTTGCTTTGCATATTTGAGATTGTTTTGAATTTTACTAGTTATTGAGCCAATTTTGCTGAATTAAGTGGCTATTGTCGATCAACTCTAAGAAAGCAATACAAATACAGCTACGATGTACTCTAATGACACTATTATTTTTGATTCTACTGACATTTGTTCTATATAACGTATTCTCTAGTATAACAATATAACACAAAGGAAATATTTGTCCTGGATTTCATCGAATAGGCCTATTATTAAACTAGGCGTATGTACGTGCGAGATCATCTAAAACGCATATCTGATATCGAGGTAACTATGGCAAAATAGATTAGAAAATTATTTCTGTAGTAGGCCTATGTCAAATTGCGAAAAATTTTGAAAAGGCAGTTCAGAACTAACTTATTGATTTTCTAACCATGTATAACGTAATTAAATTATTGACCAAGGAATGCTAGGTAATTCCACAGTTTGTATCCATAGAGATATTGATGATTAGCTTGAGCATAAAATAGTTGACTTTTGTATTTTTATTTATTTTTTGTTTTTTACATCAATAAATGAAATGACAGACATTTTAAGAATAATATGGAGAAAATTGGTAAAAGTAGATTGAATAAACCACCCTCCACGCAAAAAAAAACAAAAAAAAAAATTATATCTAAGGAATGGAAGACCACACTTTTCTCTTTAAATGGTCCATTAGTAGGAATATTTATAAGACAATGACTAATTTCTGTCAATTAAAGATATATACACAAACAATAAACAAAATAATGAGAAATGATATACCATCTAGATCTAACCAATGGCTGCCATTAAATGATCTATTTTCAATTCTTTAAATGTTTTGTTACATTTGATCATATTTTATTGCTACGTAAATTTGAAAGATGTAGCATCATGAGTAGAAAAAAAATGTTTATCATGCCATAGGCAAGTAATATGCCATGTCATAATATGCAATCTGTAGCCCTCATAGCCTACAGTATATCTATTGCTGCTTGTCTCTATTCTCTCTTTACTTTTCGTTTGTCACTGGAATATATAAATATTTTCCAATATTTCAATATAGTCTCAACATTGCTTTCTTTAACAAAAGTTAAATCAATTTCGTATTTAGGTGTTGAAATTGATTAATATCTTACGTGGGATCAACTACAAGCATAAGCAAACAGAACAAGCTGTTACACAAAACATTTGTAATTTATTAGGCCTATGTTATAAATCATAACCATCATTGTATAACAGTTAATCATTTACATGTTACCCAGTATAAATACGTTCTTTTAAATTTTATACAAAATTCATTAATTTATTCATTTATTTGGTAAATATCAACATATACAAGGATACATAAAAAACAAAAATACCACTTATAAAACCATTTAAAATAGTAATTCAAAACATTTTTTTTAAATGTGTAAAATTTATTAGATAAAAGGGTTTAAACTTCAAAGATAAAAGGGTTTAAAAAAAATACAGTAACAAAATAATGATTTAAGAACGGTAAAAAATCAGAATGTTAGGTTGGATGAGGTAGGGAAGTTATATTCAGTACTTTAATATTTAAGTTTAATTAGTGTTTAATATTATTACAATGTAACATTGTCAGTTTGAGATTCCCGGTTTGATCAAAAGTTGATTTGAGCATTGATATTTTACCTTTGCATTCTGGGAAAACATCCCATGATCCATTAGAACACCGACTTGTAGAGGATCCAACCAAAGTGTACAATGGGTCACAAAAGAAAGATGCTTCGGAGTTGTGTTTCATTTCATTGTCATTTACTGTAAAACTCCCATGCGTTGGTGCAGTAGGAGTATCACATGGGGCTAGCAAAACAAGTTGAATAGACTTGAATGTTATTAAATAATAATTTATAATAAAAAAAAAAAAGATAAAATGACAAGAAAAGTTGGAGCTAATCTGAAATACCGTGCTCAATTTTTAACCAGTTTCATTGAACTCAAAATGTAGGCTGTAAAACCACTCACTCAAACTCAAACTGCAGTTTTTGATGTATAAAATTGAATTCAATTTATTGCTTCAATATGCCACCAAGGGCCATTACCCTCCAAACATTACAATACAAGAATTTACAGAACGCTTCTATTCGTTCGTGTACTTGAACGTCGAACAGAAAATACTTGCTGTCATTATGTTTAAATTCGTCTATACTTAAAATCCAAATAAAACAGTTTCACCATCAAACTTAAAAAGGCGCCTTTTTAATGCCGACAGCTTGTTCAGATCAAGTCGTTGAACTGGTAAAACAGTTTATAACCGTTTTATAAATTGTCTGATTAATTTCAGGATAGATCATGGGTTTTTTTTTCTATTCTTCAATCGCTTTGAGACCATTTGTAATATTCGCTAAAAAGGCGCTGTACAAATCGATTTTCATTTCCATTTCCATATAAAATCTGATATGCACAGGAGAGCACAGAGGAATCCTGCAAAATATACAAATACATGGATTGGCCACTTTTGTAATAACATTTTTAGTTTTGACCATTGCACACAACCCCAGACCCAGGTGGGGAACACATCATCAGCATGATATTTAGGGGTGGGGTGTTTCAACATTTTAATTATTTTTTTAAACGTTGAATTAATAAATGTTATTACCTTTACATTCGGGGAAACTGTGTGTCCATTGCCCATTAGAACATGTTGTTGTAGACGATCCAGAAATAGTGTACATTGGTTCACAGGAGAAAGATGCTATGGTATCGTGCTTCATTTCTGGGTCATTGAGTGTAAACATTCCATTCGTAGGTGTAAGCGGACTGCTACATGGGGCTGATTACAAAAAAAAAAAAAAAAAAAAAAAAAAAAAAAAAAAAAAAAAAAAAAAAAAAAAAACGTTAAAGAAGATAGACCTACTCATTTATTTTGAGAATACATACACAAGGAAAATTAAGTAAAGCTAGCGTACCGTTTTGATAACGTTACATTATTGTTAGGCCTATACTAAACACTGAATATTTTGTTAAATGACCACTGAAGACGGGCACTCACTGCGATTCTACGGAGAACGCAACCAGGGGTGGCACCAGGATTTGCCCGACGGGAACCCGAGGTCCCCGACGGTGGGGGTGGGGGAGCCGATGCCCCGACGAGGGGGCATATTTCCTCGACGAGTGAGCATATTTCCTCGACGAGTGAAAAGTGGGCGTGGTCGAACGTCGCTATGTCCTTAAAGTTGTCCAGGGATGAAGCTCCCGAAAATGTTGACAATTTAGGGGTTTCAAAGACATTTTAATCGATTTTAGAGTCTATACTAATAGGCCTATGTAGTGTTGCAGGATTTTTCCTCACGACCAAAACAACTCCACTCCCTAAATCTCATATTGAGATTTAGTTTGTGTAAAGCATCGTGTGTGTATGTTCGTCTTGTGTAAGGGATTGTCGCCTACAAGTAGGACAGTGATATATTCGCTATTGACAATCCTTGGCACATGTATTGTGTGCCTAAATAAATAATAAAAATAAAAATAAATAAAATAAAATATATAGGCCTATCAATTTTCTTTCTCCCCGACGAATTATGGTTTTTCTCCCCGACAGGGGGGGGGTGGGAGGGAACTCCCCTGGCCCCCGGCCCAGCCCGCTGGCGCCACCCCTGAATGCAACACAACGCGCATGAAACGGATCGTTTTTATTGACGAATGACGATCCGTTCACACTGCCACCGAAAAATCAGCAGACGGCGTTGCATCGTCTGCTGCGCTCACACAGAGAGCGGAGTTGGATTCGTTGTTGACGCAGTGAGTGTCTGGCTTAAGACCACACACCAGTGGCTATTTTCTATCATAGTCAAGGTTTCTATCTTTAAAAACATTCCATATATAATATCATTTCATTTGTAATATCATTCCATAGGCCTATGTATTATCATTTAGCCTAGATTGGACTACGCATGCAGTACACAGCAGTGCTCTAGAAATGTGTCGACAGCGCGTCTTACAAGACTGACATATCTGACAGGGGCCCGAACCAAGGGTCCCTGTCAGTAAAATACAGTATTAGGAATTGGCAATAGGTCCGACGAGACCCAGGCATGCGAGGTGGGGAGGGCTTTCCCTACCCCCCCCCCACCCCCATGGACGCCACCAATGGTAAAACACTGCACTGTCTCCACCACTGAATTTAATGTTAAATTTAATAGGTAGGCTTGCGTCGAACTGCCACAGAAAAGGCATTCGCAAATAGGCCTATTAGTTGGTGAATGTTTTTTCATCAGTGCTCAAGGAGTCTGGAATGAACATGATCATATATGTCTCATCTTAACTTGTGACTGTTTGGAAATAAAGTGTAAAAATATAAACCTCCATGTAATATTGTAGCATTGTAGATTAGGCCGATATATGAACAATTCCAATAATGTAACTCACCCTTACAAACGTAACGATTGACTTTGTTCAAACAAACGAATAATTCTGCACACGGGTTGCTTAAACACTCATCCACTTCTGTAGGATGTAACAAGTGTAATTCAGTAAAAAGAAGATATGTTCATACCATGGAGGTATTATTGAGAAGGAGATCACTCGGCAAAGCTACGCGCACGCAGCGCTATGCAAATGAACCAAGATCAAAGTTGCCGCAGCGCGTAAAGAACGTTTGCGCGATGCCTTTGAAGTCCCATGGGTTCCCCGCCATCAAATTTTCAACAGACATAATTGACCAAAAAATTGAACATGACGAAATTTCTCAATGCGCACTATACATACTGTCAATCACTATGGCTGCGCAATCTTTTCTATTTTGAAGCTGATACATTTATCTCTCATAAAATATCAAACATATTAATATTTTCCACCAAGAAAAGTTTCGAATTTAATGGAACATTTACATGACCTATAAAAGTATAGTATATTTCAACTTCAATTTTCATAAATTCGCCAAAATTCGCCAATTCTAATTTTAACAGATATTAATTAATAAATGATTAAGGATTATAATAAACTAAGTCATTTTAGGGTTAACGAGGGTTAACTATTCGAAAAATGAATCCAAAATCTGAGTATTTTTCAGTTTTACGCTGACTTAGTTTTATAGTCGAACCAGCCAATCTTTAGACAAAATTATAATGAACACAGAAGTAATTTTAACATAAATATTTTACGGAATCCGTTCCTGAAATATACAAATAATAACATACCAAAAGCCCGAAAAAATCTAATCAGGGGAACATTGTTCATTATAAAGATATTTAATGGGTTAAAATCAAACGTTTTATTGCACAACTGCTCTGCTGGAAGCGTATAATATAAATGCATGTTGTTGCCAAGTTGTTGCTAACGAAAAAATGTGAATTATAGAGTAATACGCCCGTGCGCGATCCAAAAGCGGGGAACACATAGGTTTGTCGCGTCAAAGGGATCTGTTGCCGAGTGATCTCCTTCTCAATAATACCTCCATGGTTCATACACACACAAAGGCTCATGCATTCGGCGTGTCAATCACGCATTCGGTGTCTCTCTCACGCTCTCTCGCTTAATTACTAAAATCTGACGCATAAATGCAATGAGTGCATAATAAAAATGTGGATACTGTGCAGCTCCCTCTATCGCTAAATACATCATCATCATCTACAGTACTTAATAGAATTGGTTTTGTTACAGAATTAATTAACACTTTTAACCAATACAATTATCCACGATATCTCGGGTCGAGCAGTACTTTCCACGTGTTACAGTTTTCTGGAAGAATAAATCATGTCAGTGAGATACAAATTTCTCACAGAATCATACGACAAACAAACCATGCAGCATATTTGTTTGATCTCTCTTCTGAAATGTTAAAAAAGGTCAAATCGGCAACATAGATCCCCGAAGAGCAAGGGTCGAAGAGCAAGGCTCTAACTAAAAATGTTTAGAGATAAATAAATCATCAAATAGGAGGTTGGATGGATGAAACAGAAAAAGAAACAGACAGACCATAACACGTTGGACCTGCAGGAGTCATTACTTGGTTCACACACACTCTTGGTAATACTCCATCTGCGCTGTCCACATATTCATATCCTGGTTTGCATGTGTATATTCCACTTGTCCCGGGTTCAACCCAACGTTCTGTCTCACTGAATTTTGCATTTTTTAAATTCGAATCGCACAATGCTGGAAAAAAACAACAACATTTCTTTATGTAATTCTCTGTGAATTTAGAGTTTTTAACATCTGAATGAATTATATATATATTTACACATGTGTGTGTAACAGCTCTTATGTAGCCGAATCACGTAGGATATATTGCGACAATATGCTGGTGCTAAAAAAAACCCCCAATATACATCTGTAGATAATGCAATGGAAGGACACAGCGTGTATTATTTACCGGTATTTATTTATTTATTTGAACTTACACTTTCGTTATAGTGGCACTCGTCTTGACTGTGCGTTCAAAGAGAACAACACATGTTATTACCTAAAAGTTAATAAAATTAAAACCCAAAAGCACAAGCACATTTAATGTTTTTTTGGGGGTTTTTTTTCTGCTACAGGATTACGCCGTCGGGTTGTGTTCTAGAATATAAAACGTGAATGATGAATGACTTAACGACTCCACTTACCAAGTCCACAGGTAGTTCCTCCATAATCGTTCGTGCAAACACACTCGTAGCTTATGCTGGGATCACATGTTTTGCATGTTCCACCATTTTGACATGGTTCAGAACTACAGACGGATAGAGAGTCCTAGGTACAAACCATTCATTAAATAATGTGATTATCAGTTAAATGTGTGTGTGTTTTTTTTAAATAATTTAATAATAATAATAATAATAATGTTATGTTATTATGAACGCAATTAAGTTCAAAATTTACATTAATAGATCATTTATATAAAAGATATAACAGAAAATATGTATAGATTTTGTGCTTCATTAAAAAATTGATATCACTAATTTATTATTTATATAAAAGATGTACCGGTAATAAAAAATATGGATATTTTTTTTTCTTCATTAAAAAAATTATTATTTCCAATTGTTCATATTATTACTATTATATGGGTCTATACCTGAGCCATTCTCATTGGCGTACGTCATAACGACTTGACCACAAAGGCATTGTGGTACACCCAAATGTTGATATATCGCATGTGATGCGGTGCGATATCTGTAAGGTACGGTACACCATTTTCGGTGCATAATGTTTAGCACCTAGATATAGACCGACATACTTATAATACATAATTTATAAATGGTAATGCTCCATTTCGTTCATTTACTTTATATTGATTCCTAAATGATCATATTTACTACCACACGCTTGGCTCAGTCTCATTTATCCATCAATGATAATAATACCGATTTTCGTTAATTGAATTAAAATGGTGACCTATATATTTTAAGTTCATATTAAACTCTATGTTGAGAAATAAACTAGTATATATATATATA